GGCATTCACACCATTTGGAATATCATAACCGTTTTGTAAAGTATGATCTTCCTAGTTAGAAATATGTTGCCAAGTGGCTCGCTTCCTTTAGGAAGAAATTCTACAATCTAATTATTAGGAAGTAAACCTACTTAGCCTTGTGATTCAAGTTGGAACTAGGGTAAACATTCATAGAGTTGCCATATTAATGAAATCTTATTAATCTATCTATCTATACATTTAATAAAAGTGAAAAATGTATATGTGTGTATGTGGCGAAGATGTCCACTTACACAAACAGCCTCTGGCCTCTACAAACAGGCTATAGTTCCAAGTGCTGAGAAGACTCCAAAGGCACTCCCTCAACTCACATTGCAGGTTATAGTGAGTGCCATGAACATGCAGCCAAACATTGCCAATGTCTTCCCCAAACCCTACGACCCAACCACCCAAGGAATGCTTTCATTTGGGGAGAATTACATCCTAGATTTGACGTGTTTCCTTCAACACAGGCAGGCATCCCAGGGTGCCTTGTGTGGAATTTGCATGACCCCGCCCACTGCCTGTACCTTAACCCCTTCCTACCCTTTCCTATGGCACACAGCAAACACAGACGAATTTATCAGCTACTGAACAGACTGGAGGTGTTTTGGGGCCTGACTCAACAGGATGGAAGTTGTAGTTCACCTTGCATCAAGAACCCCTTCGAAAATGGATCTGGATTGTCCTTGGCATATGGGAGTTGTAGTTCACCCATATCCAGAGAGCGCTGAACCCAGCCCATGACAGATCTGGACTAAACTTGGCACACATCCCCAACATGGCCAACTACATACTGGCCTGGTTTGGGGAGGATTGATCCATGATTCTGGGAATTGTAGTTCACCTACGTCCTTATGCATTTTCTAATGGGAGCATTCATAAAAAATCAAATCAAAACCTGGCATTTTTCTAATAAATAGTGTTACTAAATGATATTACCAAACACCTCAAGATAAACAATGCCTTTTTCAAATAACCTGGGCACCGCCGGATACTCAAGCTAGTCATCTCTATAAAAATCAATGTATATCTGTCTGTTTGCCTGTATTTCTAGGTGAAGTGGCCCTCTGTTATTTCACTGGCTTGGCTGTTGCTAGGTGAAGTGGCCCTCTAAGATGTTACTGGGAAAGAAAGATCACAAAGAAAGAGGGGGAGGGAGGGAGGGAGGAAAGAGGTAGAAAGAGACCCATATTGCCATGGAGGCATTTTCTCAGAGTTTGAGAAGGCAGAACGTGGTAGGGGGGAAATAAAGAAAGAGAAAAGAAAGGAAAGAAATGGGGGAGGGGGGAAGGAAGGAAGGAAGGAAGGGGAGGAAAGATAAAAAAAGGGAAAGAGAAAAGGTATAAGGGGAGAGGAAGAGAAAGAATGGTGGAAAACAGGGCAGCAGCCCCTCCAGTACCTGGCCAGAGACAGGTATATATGCTAATATTTCATTAGAATTCACTATGTAATGCGATTTTTGTTCCTGCATTATAAATGTTATTACCTCATTGGTTCTATCATAAAAACATGGATAAAGTGTATTAAACTGCAAAACTTTGTCTTTGCGGGACATCTTGCAGTACATTTTTCTATAGTTTGTCAATGAATAACTCATAGAGTCTCAACCAATTTAACATAAGTTGTGGCAGCCACAAAAATGAAGTTTCTGGAGTATAACAATTACTTTCAAAGTAAGTATTGCACGATTAAACAGAAAATGACACTTTCAAACCAGGCACATATAATTTTTTTTCAAATTTTATTACATAGTGTTATGGACAAGCTGAAAATTTGAGATCCTTCAAGGTAGCTCAAGATTCTAGAAACTTGCTGAGATAACATAAAACCAGTGCATTAAAATAATATTTCCATTCATCTTGCAGTAATTAGGAAATGCTGTAAAAATGATGAATATGTCCTAAGTTAATCCTTTTAATATTATAACCTAATCCTTTTAATACTGAATTTTCAGCCTTAGTGCACTCCATGAAATTACTGATGGTCAGATAGTTAGGCTTATCAGTAGTTCTCAAGTTTACCAGTATTAAGTTACATACTTGCTTGACATGTTTTTAATTTGTTGCACCAGGTGTTTTAATTTTCCTTTCCTACACAATGTCCTTGGAATGGATGAGTTGTGCCCTGTAAGCCATGCAACAAAATACAACAAATCCAAGATGGTATCATTGTGATATCTTTAATAAGCTAATGCGAAATGGTACAAAATCCATCGCCTTAGCTGTTGACACATACTGGTTGCTTCATTAGGCAGAAACATAGGGAAAACAATCACTTAAGATGTTTTCTTTGATGTTGTTTATTATAGTCTTCAGGAAGAGTCAGTACAGATAAGAGTCCACTATCGTTAATTCAATTTATATTTCTGTTAGTAATCCAAATAAGCATTCAACAGAATCCCCAGTGCTTTGATGTGCTGGAAAGCAAATACAGTGTTTATGGATGTGCTGTGTAGCTTCGTGAGTCATACTTCAAAGCTTATTTACAGGTAAGAGCTTACTTCTCCCATTCCTTTAACAAAAGCATGAGAGGGCTTTTGTTGAGGGCAGTACCCACGTTATGAACAGGATAGGCTCTGTAGGCTTGTTCTTAAGTTGAATTTGTATGTAAGTTGCAACAGTTTTTTAAAGTGTAATTCCAAGCAGATAGATAGCTCGACAGACAGATACACAGACAGATAATTTTGCATAGCATATAGGGAAGGGTTAAAACCCCTGTAATGTATTTATTTATTTATTGCTGTTCCCCTGTTCAGAAGATTTCACCTTATTTTCTGTCCCTGTGACAACTGTATTTTGAAAAATTTGGGATATAGAAACAAGAATTGGTGAGAAAGCTTTAAAAAAAGTTTCTCCCAATCACTCATATAGGACTGAATTTCTCTTTCTAGGGGTAGATTTCCTCTCACCCCTTCTTGCCTCACCCCGGTATGGAACTAGGAGTTGGATGTAAGTTGAATGTTTGTAACTTGGGGACTGCATGTATAAAACTTAAGTTAATGGGGAAATGTATGTAATGCAGTGGTGAGAAATGATGCTTAGTACATGTTGAAACTCCCTATCAAAATGCTTTGGGTCAGAAGTGGGTTTTCATCCAGATATCCTGGTATTTGCTTATACATGGTGAATGAAGAATAAGGGGGAAAGAGGATTAATCACACATCCAGTGCATACCGAGTTTTTCCTCAAGAAACCCTGACGAGGGAAAGAGAAGGGGGGGAGGACGAGGAGGACCCAAATCCTTCCTTGGCTCTCATTGGACATTCTGCCATTTTAGCAGAGTAGGTGGGCTGGATATAAGTGGTGGCCAATAGGGTGCTCCAAACTGAAGCCATTTCCAGGAGGTACACCACTACTGGTCAGGTAGAAGTCAAGTGTGGAAGGAGCTCTATATAAGTGGAGCCCCCCCCCCCCCTGTCTCTTTCGTTCATCAGTTCTCCTTGAAGACCAACTCAGCGGACACAGGACTGGCCTTTCCCTAAAGGTGAAAGTGGGTGGTTGTTGGCAAAAAGTTTAGGTTTTCAGAGTATTTTGGATTTCTAGGTAAGGGAGCCTCAACCTTTTATCGGTTTTCCATTCATTAAGATTTCTTTAAAATAAGTTTAAGAAATTTGCTAACTCAGACATTTCAATTCCCTTCTTCTGAATGTGTGTATTTGTTCAAAAACATATTTTTCATATAGGCAGCTCTGATAGTAGCATCCTTTATTCAATGATTGACATATTCAGATGGGTGTGCAGACTAATAATTTGGGGAGCTGGGAATTGAAACTAAAATGCAGATGTTCTGGTTCATATGGTTGTCAATGGTGTTCATTAATAAGCTTTTTTTTCTTGGTGTCCTGGTTTTTAGGTCTATTTCTGGGGTTATTGGGATGCTGATTCAGAAAATGGCATATGGTAGACCACATCAGCTCTAGTTGCTTAGATTTGTATCATAAAGTTTGTATCATAAATCCATGCTTTTGGTATGAAATAAGTAGATTTTCATGTAGTACACTTTTCTTTTTTATTTTATTATGTTTCTTTCATGATAAAATATATTAATTTAAACATTGCATTGAAATATCCTGATTTTTAATGGTGAGCAGAGTGAAGAGTGGCATATGGCATAGGTTTTGTATTTCAAAAATTAGAGCTGATAGGGGAATCAACAGGTCAAATATACCCAGAAACAGGTCTAACATTTAAGGCACCAAATGTGTGTTGGTCAGTGTAGTCTGATCTTCATAAAAGAAATACTCGCTATGACCAGAAGCAGCTACATGCAAATGCTTTGCTTGTCTCGTAGTTCCCTCTGTGACTGTGGTGGATAAGCCATTGTGAGGTGGCCTCCAGGAGAGAACTCTTCTAAGATTTACTTTTAGTAGCTGATAAATACTTCCCTCATAACTATAAGGTAGCAAAATGTATTCTCAAAGGTTGTTTTTATCAATTATTAGTTTTATTACTGGCTTTAGTAAATTTCCTTTATGTGCAGACCTAAAGTACCTTACAAGATTTTAAAGAAACCTAGAAAATTCCCATGGGAGCCCTGGAATGAGTGCTACTCTTCTGTGGTTCTTCTAGATTATGCTGGTATTGGTTGGCTTAACAGGTGGCATTCCAGTTCCTCTCTTCCACAGTAATATAGTTCATGAGGATGATACATGGCCCATATTTGAATCAGTGTTATAGGAGCATATTGAGTAATTTTCTCCATATATTTTATTTTTAAGAAATGTATATGGCCGAAACTTTCAACTTGACATTTAAGAAACACCTTACAATAAGATTGCAATGGCAATTAAAAAAACATAACCATTATTACTCAGTATACCAAAAAGGTTAAAATCTAATGCTATCCATAGTTAGAGTGTGTCATTGAATCAGTTGCTGAAAGGGGGAAAGTCACTTGAGCATTATTGAGCCCCTTATACCAAAATATATTTGGTTGACCCTAATGTAGATCATTCTCATTGATTTTTCTTTCCTCCCCAGGGTCTGTAACAATGGATGCTATATTGTTACGGCTAAAGCAGCTAACTCCTGATGAACTTCGAGAAGAAATTGTCAAAGCTGGACAGAAATGTGGACCCATTACTCTAACCACCAGATCGATTTTTGAAAAAAGACTGGCCCAGTCATTACTGGAACAGCAAAGAAAATTGGAGGCAGAAGCTGATACAGATGATGAGAGTGGAGCTGAAACCCAGAAGTCCTCGAGTCAAAATGGGCATGTAAGCTCCTCTGAAGATGGTGATTTTGGCTATAGCATGGGCTTAAACCCACCAGAAGAAGAAGCACTAATGCACAAGACTGAAGTTGACTCCCCAAGTTTTCAGTCTCCATCTAAGGAGCCTCTGCTATACTACGGCGTATGCCCAGTTTATGATGATATACTGGCAAGAAATGGTAATTTATTTTTATTCTGGGAACATAGTGTCATTGAGGGTTAAAGTTAGAGTAAGCATTAAAAAGTACTGTATGAGAGTTGAGGATAAGTAATTGCCAAAGTTAGACTTTCTAACACTGTAGCAATAAATGTTTGGCATAAAAATGGAAATGTTCCTCTTTCCGGAATCATTACTTCTTTTAGGGGCATATGATATATTACAGCTTAGCAAAGGATGGGTTTTATTTTTTGATACATGTTGTCATGTTATAATGTTTTGCCTTACTTCATTGCCCATCCTCTCCTCTTCAGAGTAGAACTAGAATATCTTTTAGAATTTTCAAAAGTTTCAACAGTATTAATGATATTTGACTAAATGTCCGATTCACCAAACCATGATGCTTGGAGAAATTGAAAATGGCCTTGTTCAGGAACAATAGGAGAGTTTTTTCTACCATATTAATGGCCCTTGGACTCACACATCACTGTACTCTTCTGACATGACTATAAAAGGAGATTGCAAGTTTTTATTTGCTTCCCACGGAGAAGCATTGGCATTACCACAGTCAGGGAGTTGCACTTCACTTCCTACAGCAAGTAGAATCAAACTTTCATATCATAGTTTGTTCTGAACCTGAGTTCCTTGACTTTTAGATATACATGAAACGAGCTAGTAGCATAGCAGGAGCCATTTTTTCTAGAATCAGCAAGTCAAATATCCCCAGAAACAGGTCCAACATTTGAGGCACCACAGTGTGATAATGATTGGACCTGGTGACTGAATTTTAGCCTTTTCCTAAAAAGTAAAATTTACCAACTTAATCTGAATTGATTTGGGTATTTTCTCCTGCAAACTATCGCAGTGTTGCAAAGTTAAACTGAATTTGGGAATAACAGAAGTTGGGGTTTGTTGAACTCATATGGTGTCTCCTTGAGGCATATCGCCATGGAAAGATATTAATGTGCTTTAATGGTCTTTTGTTCCAGAAAGGGTGCATGTCTATGAAGATAAAAAGGAAGCTCTGCAAGCTGTTAAAATGATAAAAGGCTCACGGTTTAAAGCTTTCTCAACTAGGGAAGAGGCAGAGAAATTTGCCAAAGGCATCTGTGATTACTTCCCCTCTCCAAACAAGGCCACCTTATCTTTGTCTCCTGTAAAAGTGTGTTCAACAGTATTCAACAGAGGTAAGTGGGGATCGAATATTCTCTTAACTACTTTCGAAATTGAGGCCATTGCAGTTTAGACCAAACACTGTTAGTTATGATAGACAAGCATCCCGAGCTCTGAGGATCACCTGAGAAGGAATCCCACTGGAGCATTGCAGCGCACTCAAATACCTGGGAGTCACTCTGGACCGTGCTCTGACCTACAAGAAGCACTGTCTGAACACCAAGCAAAAAGTGGGTGCTAGAAATAATATCATACGAAAGCTGACTGGTACAACCTGGGGATCACAACCAGACATAGTGAAGACATCTGCCCTTGCGCTATGCTACTCTGCTACTGAGCACCCATGCCCAGTGTGGAACACATTTCACCACACTAAAACAGTAGATGTGGCTTTTAATGAGACATGCCGCATTACCACGGGGTGTCTGCGCCCTACACCACTGGAGAAATTACACTGCTTAGCTGGTATTGCACCACCTGACATCCGCCGGGAAGTATTTTATTTATTTATTTATTTGCTTCATTTGTATACCGCTCTTCTCAGCCCTCAGGCGACTCAGAGCGGTTAACAACCAGTTTCAACAACACAATACAAAATCATTAATCAATTAAAACAGTAGTATCAATTAATTAACACCAAAATATCAATACAACAGTACAGCACTATAACAATCCATCACGTCTCATCAATAGAATCAGCATCCGAACTCATTGTCCATTATTCCATTCCAATATTCAATCAATTGCACTGCTTAGTTGAAAGCCTGTTCGAAAAGCCAGGTCTTCACACTCTTCCGGAATGCCAATAAGGAGGGGGCCAATCTGATGTCTGTAGGAAGGGCGTTCCACAGCTGAGGGGCCACCACTGAGAAGGCCCTGTCTCTCGTCCCCGCCAGGCGTGCTTGTGAAGCCGGCGGGACCGAGAGCAGGGCCTCCCCAGACGATCTTAATGTCCTAACTGGTTCATAAGAGGAGATGCGTTCGGACAGGTAGGTCGGGCCAGAACCGTTTAGGGCTTTAAAGGCTAAAGCCAGCACTTTGAATTGTGCCCGGTAGCAAATTGGCAGCCAGTGGAGCTGGCGCAACAGGGGAGTTGTATGCTCCCTGCGCGCCGCTCCTGTTAAAATCATGGCTGCCGAGCGTTGGACTAGTTGGAGCTTCCGAGCTGTCTTCAAAGGCAACCCCACGTAGAGAGCGTTGCAGTAGTCTAAACGGGATGTAAACCAGAGCGTGGACTACCGTGGCCAAGTCAGACTTCCCAAGGTATGGGCGCAGCTGGCGCACAAGTAGCAGCCAATAGTGAAAGGACCAAGGCAGAGACATCTCCAGCCCACCCCCTGTTTGGGTATCAGCCAGCACGTCAACGACTTAAATCTAGAAATAGTTTTCTAAGATCTACAGAGACACTCGCTGGAACACCTCAGCAAGCGAGAGTCCAAAAGTGGCAGGCTCAAACCCAGAACCTCAACCAATGGCTGATAAATGAGAGACTCCCCCCTGGGGCGACTTGGAAGGCACTGAACAGACTGCGCTCTGGCACTACGAGATGCAGAGCCAACCTTCAGAAATGGGGGCCACAAAGTGGAATCCACGACATGCGAGTGTGAGAAGAGCAAACCACTGACCACCTGCTGCAATGCACCCTGAGCCCTGCCACATGCACAATGGAGGACCTTCTTGCAGCAACACCAGAAGCACTCCAAGTGGCCAGCTACTGGTCAAAGGACATTTAATCAACTACCAAACTCGCAAATTTTGTATTTTGTCTGTTTGTTTGTTTGTTTTGTTCTGTTAGAAATGTAATACAATTGGCTGGTTGCCCTGACACGACAAATAAATATGATATTTTTGTTTTATTGTGACAAAAACATCAGAATTCCTAAACAAGTTTGAAGACCTTAAGTAGGTAAAGGTAAAGGTTTCCCCTGACATTAAGTCCATTCGTGTCCAACTCTGGGGGTTGGTGCTCATCTCCATTTCTCAGCCAAAGAGCCGGCATTGTCGATAGACACTTCCAAGGTCATGTGGCTGGCATGACTGCATGGAGCGCTGTTACCCTCCTGCCAAAGCGGTACCTATTGATCTACTCTTAAGTATTTAAATTAATACTGAAGCATTTGTTTTATATCTTTATCTTGACAATTCAGATTTTGTATATACAACACCGGCACTTACGTGGGCCTGGCAGGCACTATCATAATAAAAAAATCATATCATAAATATACTATTGTTTTGATTTGATAGATGGCTTATGCTCTCCTGAGATGGAAACAGTTAGTAAAGAGAGAGCCAACAGTTTTAAAAGTCCACGTACTCAGGAACTTACTGCCAAACTTAGGAAAGCAGTTGAGAGAGGAGATGAAACAACCTTCTTGGAACTTGTTTGGAGTAATCCTCGCTATCTCATTGGCTCTGGAGACAACCCAACAGTTGTGCAGGTAAGTGAATGGTCTGGCTTTTGCCTAAATCCAGTGCAGCTGCACCCTTTTCTACCCCTTCTGGAAGCATTTTAGCATGTTATCACAGTAATAAAAACCACTAGTATCTATGACTTGGTTGTGGATGAAGGGGCCGACCTGGTGTTGGGGTATAAATAAATACAGGCAGTCCTCAAGTTACAAATAACTTACACCTGACTCCTAGTTACAAACAGGAGTGAGACCACAGGAAGTGAGAGAAAATCTACTCCTAGGAAGGGAAATTCACTCCTGAAAGAGTTTTCGTGGGGAAACAAACCTACAGAACCTATTTTGATCATAACCCGGGGACTGCTTGCAGCAACCAGTATAATAAACAGTAATAATTCTAATGAAGTGTCTTTAGCTCTGGAATGTTTTCATTATATGTCTAAACTGTTAAGCATAGAGCTACTAAAACAAAAGTGATGGGGTTGTCATCCTGTTGCTTCATCTAGCTCAGCAGTTCCCTAACTGTGCTCCGCCAAATCCTAGGGTTCTGCAAAAGCATCATAGGGGTTCTGTGAAAAACCCTTAATTTTTAAAAAAGTTTTTTAATCCAGTGCCAGAGAAGATTTTACTGGAATTCAATGTGACTCTGCTTTTAATCCCTTTATTTCTAAATTTACTACATTATACAAAACACCCAGGCAATAAGAAGAGATGAAAGAAGGAAGAACTTTGTGGATTCACAAGGCTTAAAGACAGAATTATGGTCTTCCGAAGAGTTCCATGAGCAACAAAGTTTGGGAACCACTAATATAGCTAACCATGAGAAAAGTATGTTTGTTGAATGTGTGGTTATGGAATTTTATTAGTAAGCCATGCTCCATTTTTGCATCTATAGACAATGCATAGAAATTCTGTTCCAGATTGTCAGTTTTTCCCCTGTGTCCTAAAAAACTTGAAGCTTGCTAGTATAGATCTGTCTAACTAAAGTTAGCAGCTGAATATTTCATTGTATGGGTGTCCCAAGATTTAAAGCCTGTTTTATTGTGCATCTTTATATGATTTATTGTGTTTTCTCCTTCTCAGGAAGGCTGTAGATATAATGTCATGCATGTTGCCGCTAAAGAGAATCAGCCTGGTATCTGCCGATTGCTGCTGAACACTTTGGAAAATCCTGAATTTATGCGGCTGATGTATCCTGATGATGACAGGATAATGTTACAGAACCGTATCAGATACATAGTTGACCTGTATCTTAATACACCAGATAAAATGGTAAGCTTTGTGTGTCCTGTTATTAATTGTGTATTGTTGGTAATCTTGAAATGTATTAGTTGCTTGTTGTTTTAGAAGGATGTCTTGTAAGGTTGGTAACAGTTTTGCAACCTATTCCCATACCTATCTTACTCAGTTTTAATGAGTTCAGTTAAACTTGCAGTCCTATCTGTCCTATAAAGTTTCTTGGGAAAATGCAACTCATTTAATCCACATCCAGTCCAGAGTATTCTGAGATTTAGCCTGTTGTTCTAAGGCTACTTTGTTAGTCTGCCGTTTTAAGCCTAATACACATTTTGATGCCTCAGATGTTAGACTTGTTTATGGGCATATCTGACCTGCCGATTCCAAAACTGGCACTAGTTTTTCCCTAACAGCTCTGGGTTTTGAGATATATAACATATCATTAATCAAAACAAATGACAGCCTTCCAGGTGGCACTGTATCCCAACACCCATCGGCTCATGATGTCTGTTGATGAGGAATATAGGAGCTGTAGTCCAGCATCTGAAGGACCACATTAACTCACCCGGAGAGTCAAATTTTGCCCACGGGCCTTGAGTTACACACATGTGCTCTAGATAAAATCCTTAGAACTAGACAATATATGAACAGGCTCACTCCTCAAATGCATAGAATAATGCTGTAATATTTCAAAATGTACCCAAAATCCAAATACACATATCCTCTACATTTTTGTTAAAAGTACTACTGTTTATTCACACCAGATATTATTTTAAATTAAAGGTACCTGGAAACAGAAGGACATATCTAAAATGCACAAATCCTTAGTCAAAAGGGATATTTAAAAGACATGTTTTCTTTTTTAAGGGATTTGATACACCACTACATTTTGCTTGCAAATTTGGGAACTCGGATGTTGTTCATGTCCTTGCTTCACACCCAGATACTGTGAAGAATTTACCAAACAAGTATGGACAAACTCCAGCAGAAGTAAGTTGTCCTGAAATACACACTGTGTCTCCCTTGATTTTTGAATAGAATGATCCTTTAGCAAAGTTATTTTGTGGGGATTTTCTGGCATGCAAGCTGGTTGAGAAAACACAAATATATATACTTCAGACCAGTGAATTATTAAAATAGTCATTGTAGGAAGTACAGTGACTTGGTAGTGCAAACAGGGAGGTGCTGTCTATTCTCTCTGTCAAATGTATGGCTAGTACAAATGTGAAGGATCTCTTTGTTTTTCCCAACAGGTTGTTTGTGAAAGGAGCAAAAACAAATCTGCAGAGTTGAAAGAGAAAATCAGAGAATATTTGGAAGGTCTGTATTTGACACTTTTCATTGGCAAGTTTCTACAGAGACTTTGTTACATTTTACTTTCTTTCGGTAACTTTACTTAGTGATGCTGTGACATGTTGTACTGAACAATAAAATAAAATAGAATGAAACAATAGAATGTTTAACGTGGGACTGTCTGGTCCATTATTAAACAATATTTACACTGTACATTTTCTAAAATTTAAAACTAAAAGCCACCCTAGAATCTTAACACCATTTTCAATTATTTTTCATTTAGGACAGTGTTATGTACCACTCTTCAGAGCAGAAGATAATGTCTCGGCACCTGTGATTGGTGCACCTTGGTCTCCTGACAAGTCAGAGGATATCCAACATGGCTCTTTACCAAGATATGTTGGTAGCCCTAAAGATCCTGTGTTGATAGTGAGGGCATATGCCGGCCCATTGAGCCCTTCCAAGGTAATGAAAACTTAGGAAAAAAATGTCCCATGTCTTCCCTTGTTGTTTTGCTTCTAATGTTTGGTACAGTAAGTTGAAGTGGAGTCAGGTACACTCACAAATTCCATTTAAGAGTACAGATGTACAGCATGAGAGCAATACAGAGAAGTCTTTCGACTTACCTGCAAGTTTGGGAACTCATGTGGGTGGTCTGCGTGTTCTGTCCACTTACTGGAACATTTTTTTCATAATGCAAATTCTTCCCCAGATTTTGTGTTACTGTGATCCTTCTTCGTCTGGTTGCTAGATTAATCCTGGGGAAAATTGGGAGTGTGGCATGAGCTTATGAGTGTTGTTTTAACTTACTCGTTTATTTCCTGCCTTTTGGGCATAACTGGCCATCTAGGTCAATGCTTCTTAAACTGTAAGTCTCAACCCCAAATGGAGTCCTGTAAAAGAAAATTGGGGTCATGAAAACTTTGTCTCTCATGTGGAATGTGCTGGAATGTCTTCTAGAGCACATTTTCTTAAACTATGGTTCCTGACCCAAATGGGGTCCGCTTCACTCAATGTTAGGGTCCCAAAAAATTTGGCAACAGTAAACAATTTCTGAACACCACCTAGTGGGTGGTTTTGACATTTGCACGAATCTGTTAGCAACAATGTTCTTCAGCTGTACTTCATAAAAGCCTTGCAAATGCTGAATTGTCAGTAAATGCTTGATTGTCATACCTCTTCTATATAATTATATACCTGGGTTACTTGAAAAATCCTGGGGCAGGAAAGGGTTGTAAATGGAAAGGGTTTAAGCAGCCCTGCTCCAGACAATTTACAAAAACTAAAAGAAATACTCTCGAAGCACAGTTAAATACTTAAGTGAAGACATACAAATGCTATGGTTAACATACAATTAAATAGCCTTAGAATTGAAGCCATTCAAAGTAAGACAAAAATAAAAGTTGCTAAAGTAGCATGCTATTAAGTCTCTTGCAGTCAGTTCCAAAAAGTCATAATAATAATAGGAAGAAGTTTTATTTATTAACCACCCGATGGCTTGAGGTGGGGTACAACAAAGTCAAAAACATATGAACATAAAATATATACAATAAAATGCATAGATAAAAATGCAAAAATATAAAAAACTTGCACCAAACACACGAATTAAAAGGTTTTACTTGTCAATGAAAGAACACCAAGAAGGGAACCATACTAGCCTCTGTGTAGGCTCATATAGGCTGATCCAGTTAGATAGCTTGGGTTTCAGCAGAATAGGACTTTCTACATTATAACTAGAATCCAGTATTTATGGCTAACTCAGCTTGCAAGATCACACTGTGAGCCACACATACAGAGCTCCCAATTCAGCTCCAAGTGCTACCTGACAATGATCAATCTGTTCCAAAGTAAAACCTGGTATATTATTAAACCATATTTGAAAACACTGGTTTAATCGGCATTTTCAAAAGTCCAACTGCTGATATACCAATCGAATTCAGGGTCCAGGAATGAGCTGCTGATGGGTATCCTATTCCCAACATAGGTCCTTGTGCCCTCCCTTGTCATTTTGTGATGTTGACTTGTGCTTCACGCAAAGCCAAGTTGAAATTAATCCTGGTATATTGAGTATGACTGAAATTAGGTTTTTCTGGCAACTGGAACCATATTTATTTATGTATATTTCAAAATATACAGGAAGCATGTTTACAGAAGGACATATTTATGGATCTAATGTTACACTCTGTGTTCTTCTGCCCCTAACAAAATAATAGCTCTTTGGAGTCACCTGCATTTTAATCTACATAACAAAACACCTTATTGGCTTCCAGAGAACTAAACAGCTTTTCTGTGTGGTGGTGCCACCAGAAAATATAGTGCAAGGAGTTAATGGCTGACTTCAAGTGTCAGCTGTGGGAAACATTTGAAAATTACTGCATTTCAGTGTTTTCATACCCAAGAAAAAAATAGAAGTAGTATTGGAGAAAGAGCAGTGGCTACAATATTAAAGAAACTTAACAACCCATTTATTATATAATGGTAAATGAAATATATATTTACATTATTACATCCATATGTTTACATGGCATTTGATATAGCAAATCCAATACTGAAGGTGTAATATCAGAAGGATTACTCCAAGATGGATTTGGGATCTGGTGCTTCTGTGTTTGTTTTGTGGTCCACACAGCTGCCGCTATAACATCTCATTAGTATGAATGGAAATTAGACATTTCTCACTATTTGAAAAAGTGTTTTAGGTGGTGATGGAACAAGACCATCTTGATTTAAAACTGTAATGTTGAATGTCTTCCTCCCCCATCCAGGCTGAAGAGTTCCACAGGCTTTGGAAAACTCCACCTCGAGAGAAAGCAGGATATTACCACAATCTCAGAAAATCTGATCTGGAAAGAGGAGTCGAAAGAGTTGGAAGGTATGCCAGTTTCAATATAACAGTTTGGTTTAATAGAGGATAGCACACTTGAGGATGAGAACAAATTTCCTTGTGCTCTAGAAGCCTATATAGTTGCGGAGAGAGATCTCAGCTCTTCTCAAACTGTCTTGGATTTTGGACAATAGATAGAGGAGATGGTTGTCCTTTTCAAGTGAGTATATTGGAGGTAATTTGGGGCTATAATAATTTGAGTGCTACTAAGCCTTTTTGATCCATTGTGAAAGAGTCTGAAGCATTCTCTGAGTCTGAGCTCTTTCCTCCCCAATCCCTCAAACATCCTTCTCTCCAAGAAATTTATGAAAGAATTTGTACTTTATCAACCTCCTTCCTTGTTTTAAAGAGGATGCAGGACTTGCCAAAATCACTTGTTAGTGACTATCATCACTTTTACATCTAAAGGTTTTGGTCCTCCGCATGTATGCTGTTTTTCTTATTGTCTCTCATTCTGTCCTCTTTGTATCTTGATGACAGTTATGACAAAATAATGGGTATATCCAAATGCTGGATTCTTCACCATACTCTTTCTCTGACCTTGCACACGGCACCATCTTGGTCTTGTGTACTCTACTGAGCCTATTTTACTGCTACCTTAGTCTTGCAGCCCACTAATGCCTAAGGCTTGCTGCTCTTGGTGTTTTCCTACCTCGAAGCTTTTTCCACTTTTTCCTTCATTAGTCTGCCTATGCGCACTGCTATGGAACTGTCACACGTTACTCCCATAGGGTTGCAGAACCTTTCATTCATTTGCTGCTCCCTGCCCCATTTCTGTGATATGTGTTTTGTATGTGCCAAACAATGTCTTCCAGAAAGAGAGGCAATGCTAGTAAACATGCAGAGGTGTCAGGCAGTGCATGTTTGCTGCATATTTTCTAGTTCTACTTTTAATAATGTGCATTTTGGAAAGTGTCTTCTATGGTTCAGCTATACTTATGGAATTAATGCAGTTTGACACAACTTTAACTGCCATGGCTCAGTGCTATGGAATCATGGGAATGATAGTTTGCAGAGGGACCACATTCCTTTGCAGAGAACACTACAGACCTTGTAAAACTATAGCTCCCAGAATTCCATAGCATTGAGCAATTCAAATGGGGTCAAACTTCATTAACATTACACTGTAGCTACACCCTAACCATTATTTTTCTGCTGGACCTCTTAGCGGCCTTCGATACCGTCGACCACGGTATCCTTCTGGGACGCCTCGCGGGAATAGGCCTTGGAGGCACTGTTCTGCAGTGGCTCCAGTCCTTCCTAGAGGGTCGTTCTCAGAAGGTGTTATTGGGAGACACCTGTTCTACCCCACAACCATTGTCTTGTGGGGTTCCTCAGGGCTCAATATTGTCTCCCATGTTTTTTAACATCTACATGAAGCCGCTGGGAGAGATCATCTGGAGTTTCGGGGTACGATGTCATCTGTACGTGGATGATGTCCAACTCTGTCACTCCTTTCCACCTGCTTCTAAGGAGGCTGTTCAGGTCCTGAACCGGTGCTTGGCCGCTGTGACGGTCTGGATGAGGGCGAACAAATTGAAACTGAATCCAGGCAAGACAGAGGTACTCCTGGTCAGTCGTAAGGCCGAACAGGGCATAGGGTTACAGCCTGTGCTGGACGGGGTTACACTCCCCCTGTAGACGCAGGTTCGCAGCTTGGGTGTGATCCTGGACTCATCGCTGAGCCTGGAACCCCAGGTTTCAGCAGTGACCAGGGGAGCATTCGCACAGCTAAAAACTTGTGCGCCTGCTGCGCCCGTACCTTGGGAAGTCTGACTTGGCCACGGTAGTCCACGCTCTGGTTACATCCCGTATAGACTACTGCAACGCTCTCTACGTGGGGTTGCCTCTGAAGACTGCTCAGGAAGCTTCAATGGTCCAGCGACGGCAGCCAGGTTGCTAACAGGAGCGGCACTCAGGGAGCATACACAACGCCTCTGTTGCGCCAGCTCCACTGGCTGCCAGTTGCCTATTGCTTCAGCCGCCCCTAACTGTAAATAGATAGATCAGTGTTTCTCAACCTGGGGGTCGGGACCCCTGGAGGGGTCGCCAGGGGATGTCAGAGGGGTCACCAAAGACCACCAGAAAACACAGTATTTTCTGGTGGTCATGGAGGTTCTGTGTGGGAAGTTTGGCCCAATTCAATCCTTGGTAGGGTTCAGAATGCTCTTTGATTGTAGGTGAACTATAAATCCCAGCAACTACAACTCCCAAATGTCAAGGTCTATTTCCTCCAAACTCCACCAGTGTTCATTTGGGCATATTGAGAATTTGTGCCAAGTTTGGTCCAGATCCATCATTGTTTGAGTCCACAGTGCTCTCTTGATGTAGGTGAACTACAACTCCCAAAACTCAAGGTCAATGCCCACCAAACCCTTCCAGTATTTTCTGTTGGTCATGGGAGTTCTGTGTGCCAAGTTTGATTCAATTCCATCATTGGTGGAGTTCAGAATGCTCTTTTATTGTAGGTGAACTATAAATCCCAGCAACTACAACTCCCAAATGACAAAATCAACCCCCGCCCAACCCCAGTAGTATTTGTGCCAAATTTCGTCCAGTGAATGAAAATACATCCTGCATGTCAGATATTTACATTACTATTCATAACAGTAGCAAAATTACAGTTATGAAGTAGCAACGAAAACTTTTTATGGTTGGGGGTCACCATAAACATGAGGAAGCATATTAAGGGGTGCTGGCATTGGCCTTTAAAGCCCTAAACGGTTCTGGCCCGACTTACCTGTCCGAACGCATCTCCTCCTATGAACCAGTTAGGATGTTAAGATCATCTGGGGAGGCCCTGCTCTCGGTCCCGCCCGCTTCACAAGCACGCCTGGCGGGGACGAGAGACAGGGCCTTCTCAGTAGTGGCCCCTTGGCTGTGGAACGCCCTCCCTACAGACATCAGATCGGCCCCCTCTTATTGGCATTCCGGAAGAGTGTGAAGACCTGGCTTTTCGAACAGGCTTTCAACTAAGCAGTGCAATTGATTGATTATTGGAATGGAATAATGGACAATGAGTTCGGATGCTGATTCTATTGATGAGACGTGATGGATTGTTATATTGCTGTACTGTTGTATTGATATTTTGGTGTTAATTAATTGATACTACTGTTTTAATTGATTAATGATTTTGTATTGTACTTGTTGAAACTGGTTGTTAACCGCTCTGAGTCGCCTGAGGGCTGAGAAGAGCGGTATATAAATGAAGCAAATAAATAAATAGTTTTCTGTATTGTCAAAGGCTTTCATGGCCGGAATCACTGGGTTGTTGTAGGTTCTTTGGGCTGTATGGCCATGTTCTAGAAGCATTCTCTCCTGACGTTTTGCCTGCATGTATGGCAGGCATCCTCAGAGAACATTTCCATACAGCCTGAAAAACCTACAACAACCCATGATTTTTCTATTAAGGGTATTTAATGTACAGTACTACATTCTAATTTTATGTAAAGGTGTGCAAAGACATAAAGTAGCATTTGTTTCAGTTCAAACAGTGGTGTCAAACTTGTGTTCCTCCTGGTGTTTTGGACTCCAGCTCCTAGAATTCCTGGCCATTGGACAAGCTGGCAAGGGCTTCTGGGAGCTGAAGGCCCAAACACTTGGGAGACCACAAGCTTGACATTTCTGGGTTAGAGTGCTGTCATCCCTAAATTGATGCGAATGTGTTCTGACAAGTTAAAAAATGGCCTGGAAATTCTAGAGTGATTTTATATGTGAGAATTATAACAGTTTGCAAGATTATTCCATGCATGATTCAGTTATTAAAAGAACAGTTGGGTTTTTTTAGTAATTTGTTGTCAAACTCATGTAATATCTCCACAAATGATTCATTCTGTCTTATCTATTGCAGGGAGTTAGCTCATGAACTGGGGTTCCCATGGGTTGAATACTGGGAATTCCTGGGCTGTTTTGTTGATCTGTCTTCCCAGGACGGGTTACAAAAACTAGAAGAATACCTGAGCCAACGGGAAATGCGTGATAAGGCTCAGCAAGAAACAGGAGAGAATGAAACCCACAACAGATACAAAACTCCACAGCTTTCTGGTAAAAATAAACATTGTTTAAAAGTTCGGTTCTTCGCAGACAAAGTCGCTTTGATCCGCTCTGGACTGGATACCATATTAACGGCAGTATCTGAGGATGTAACCCGAGCACCTGCTTGTCCGGTTTTGATGGATTCATTTCAATTGGTTCAATCCGAGGATGTGGACAAGGTGCTTGGAGGAATGAGAGCTACCACATGCATCCTAGACCCCTGCCCATCCTGGCTTCTAAAGGAGGCCAGAGGGGGTTTGGCCGAGTGGGTGAAGGTGGTGGTGAATGCCTCCCTTCGGGAAGGCAAAATTCCAGCCAGCTTAAAGCAAGCTGTAATAAAACCGCTGTTGAAGAAGCCATCACTGGACCCCACTCAATTCGTCAACTATCGGCCTGTTTCCAATCTCCCCTTTTTGGGCAAAGTCATGGAACGTGTGGTGGCCTCACAACTCCAGGCATTCTTGGTAGACACGGATTATCTGGATCCGGCACAGTCTGGCTTTAGGCCGGGGCATGGTACTGAGACAGCCTTGGTCGCCTTAGTGGATGATCTGCGTCGGGAGCTCGACAGGGGGAGTGTGTCCCTGTTGGTGCTGCTCGACCTCTCAGCGGCCTTCGATACCGTCGACCACGGTATCCTTCTGGGACGCCTCGCGGAGATGGGTCTTGGAGGTACTGTCTTGCAGTGGCTCCGCTCATTCCTCGAGGGTCGGTCCCAGATGGTGTTATTGGGAGACTCCTGTTCACACCATGCTTCTAATGTCCTGTGGGGTCCCGCAGGGCTCAACAATGCTCCCCATGTTGTTTAAAATCTACATGAAGCCATTTGGAGAGATCATCCGGAGAGTTGGAGTTCGATGTTACCTGTACGCAGACAATGTCCAACTCTATCACTTCTTTCCACCTGCTACTAAGGAGGCTGTCGAGGTCCTGAACCGGTGCTTGGCCGCTGTGACGGTCTGGATGGGGGCGAACAAATTGAAATTGAATCCAGACAAGACAGAGGTACTCCTGGTTAGTCGTAAGGCTGAACAGGGTATTGGATTACAGCCTGTGTTGGATGGGGTCGCACTCCCCCTGAAGACACAGGTTCGCAGCTTGGGGGTGATCCTGGACTCACCGCTGAGCCTGGAACCCCAGGTTTCGGCGGTGACCAGGGGAGCCTTCGCACAGTTAAAACTTGTGCGCCAACTGCGACCGTACCTTGGGAAGTCTGACTTAGCCACGGTAGTCCACGCTCTGGTTACATCCCGCCTTGATTACTGCAACGCTCTCTACGTGGGGTTGCCTTTGAAGACAGTCCGGAAGCTCCAATTAGTCCAACGGGCGGCAGCCATGATTCTAACAGGAGCGGGGTGCAGGGAGCATACAACTCCCTTGCTGAACCAGCCCCACTGGCTGCCGATATGCTACCGGGCTCAATTCAAAGTGCTGGCGTTGGCCTTTAAAGCCCTAAACGGTTCTGGCCCAACTTATCTATCCGAACGTATCTCAGCCTATCAGCCCACCAGGACCCTAAGATCTTCCGGAGAGTCTCTTCTCTCTATCCCTCCAGCTTCAGAAGTGCGGCTGGCGGGAACGAGAGATAGGGCCTTCTCTGTGGTGGCCCCCCGGCTTTGGAACGCCCTCCCTATAGAGATACGATCAGCCTCTTCGCTGATGGCATTTAGGAAGAAACTTAAAACATGGTTATTCAAACAAGCCTTCGGCTAATCTGTGGAAACCGATTCGAATCTGGGTGACCTTGGACAGAAATATGGACAACGAATTGTGGACTGTGATTTCAACTTGAGACATATGGGATTATTATTGGTGGCCCAATAATTTGCTATTGTAATTTGTAATTGTATTTTGTATATGTTTTTAAACTGGAGATTGATTTTAAATGCTGTAAACCGCAACTGAGTCGCCGATCCAGGCTGAGAAGTTAGCGGTATATAAGTGTACCAAATAAATAAATAAATAAATAAATAAAAGTTGGCAGTTGAAAATGTTTGGGAGTTAATGGGTTGCTCTTCAAAACATCTTAATTCCCAAAGTATTTCTCAAATTTATTTTTCTTAAGTGTAAAATTTCACATCCTGGTTGTTTTAATTATGTAGACCAGAGCTTTCCAAACATTTTGTGTTGATGACACACTATTAGTCATTCATCATTTCATGACATAGTAATTCAGTTTTACTAGCAAACCAGAGGTTAAACCAACCACTTATAAAAGATATGTACACATAGATTAACTGTAATAATGAAATGTATGGCGACACAACATATCTCATGAAAACCTTTCATTTATAATTTTACAAATATATGATTTATTGCTTATTTCACATAGACTTCTCTTTATGTTTGTGTGACACACCTACACACTGCAGCCAACACACAAATGAGTCACAACGCACAGTTTGGAAAGCTCTGATTTAGAAGCATAGTTTTTCTATTTGCAAATAATGAGTGTGCATCAATTATTGAGAATAATTGTCTTCCTTGCAAGTCGAGTCTTCATGTTGCTCAAATGGGCTATTGGCTAAATGGACTGATTCTAATTCTCAGGCACCATTTGCATCATTTGGAAAAGTAAAACACGATCACTGCTTTTTTCTTCCCTGTTACTGGGGATACATATTTACCTCGAGGCCTACAAGCTGAGATCCCATGAGTGAAATTCTTAGTAGGGATAGCCAGAAGTGTCTTCAACATGGTTCCTTGTAGCTGTTAATTAAGCTTATCTATTCTCTAGAGGGAGCAACTTTCTGTGACTTGTTCTTAAGAGGCTCCCTCAAGGATTGGAAAGTGATGTATGAATGCCTTAGTCATTGTTTTTACAAAGTAAGTGCCTTGCAGTTAAGCAAAATAGTTTTGTGCTGATTTTGATTTGGTCAGCAGCAATCTTGGAATGATTTTGCTCTGTATTGTTAGCGCTGTTTGGCAAATATAGTGCTGGCATAGTATAGGACTTCTTTAATTTTTTCCACTGACAACCCTTTCTGCCTAAGAATTTTTTTCATGACCCCTTTACATCTGAGAAATCAAACATTTACTGATAACAAACCAGCATTTGCATGGTGTGCTAAAAAGGTCGATTTTTCCTCTATGAAGCCTGTTATACAGAGTCCACTGTCAAAACTGCACAACAGAGTCATGTAAATTTATTTATGCATTTATTTACAGTATTTATACCGCACCCTTCTCACCCCGAAAGGGATTCAGAGCGGCTTACAGAACACACATACGGCAAACATTCAATGCTGATTACACAATTAACAAGGACAGACAACACAAACAGAGGTAAAGGCCGTTTTCCCATCTTATTTCCGGCATCTTTGGAAGCTCTGCTCAACTCCGGCCATCGGGGGTGGGGTGAGGCGCTGTTGCTCCATTTTCCATGCCAAGGAGCTTTCCTCCGATCAGTGTCCTTAAGGGCATTTTTATAACCTCCCCGCTAAAAGCGGTACCTATTTTATCTACTCGCATTTCTGCTTTCAACCTGCTAGGTGGGCAGGTGAACTGGGGCTAACGGTGCTTACCACAACCAGTGCTCAAGCAGTCAACCTTCTGATCAGCAGGATTTTTCTGCAGCGATTTAGCCTGCTGTGCTCAGCCCACCCCCTGTGTAAATGTCTAGAACAGCCAATAGGTAGCATTCAGAAAACTTTCATGGTTGCCGATTTTTTTCGGGACCCACCACTGAGCTAAGAGGACCCATTTGGGATCAGAACCCACCATTCAAGAAACAGTGGAATAATAAATGCTGGGATAGCATATTTGACAACATACTCCAAATTTAGCCTTTTCCTATTAAATCTTACTTAAAAAATCACCAGCATGGTTTATGATAAGTTGTCTGTGTGCTACTCTAGTGTACTGCTTCTTAAACTGTGGACTCTACAGAAGAGGCTCCAGCTGTACTTCACAGAGGAAAAATCAACCTGTTTAGCATGTGCCATTGAATCTAGTGTGCACCTCAATTTTTGCAATGTAAATTTAGCCAAAAAATGGTAAGCATTCGACTCGAGTAAATACAGTAGCTCATCGCACAAATATGGGTCAGTAGCTAACCATCCAGGTCAATCAGGTGAGATTTTAGAAATGACATTTTTATCTTGTTTCACAGGCAAAAGTAAAAAAAGCTATAACTCAATCTCAGTTGGGGCATTTCTTGATGACGAAGACATGAGCTTAGAAGAAGTCAAGAACAGGCAGAATGCGGCAAGGAACTACAGCCGAGTTACAGCCTCCAGTGAACCAACCATCAGTAACGTTGGCAACTTGGAGTGTGACATCCTCTCAATTGAATGTACTGGGAGTATAATGGCTGAAGTCTCCAGTCAGCACTCTGCGAAAGAAATCCCCACCAGTAAAAATGGGTTTTGTAGCCCAGTGACCAGTGGCAGAACTGTGACCCCATATAGGAGGCATGCAAACCAAAGAGAAGAGTGCCTTCAGATGCCAGTCTCCAATCTGATGGAAGAATTTGATAAACTGTCTTGCCAGGATCAGACTGTGGCCGCCGAGAGCTTATCAGGGAAGCCAAACCAGGCTTCTATAAAAAAGCACAAAAGCAACCCTGAGGAAAGTACAAGGCAGCTTAGAAAATGTAAGGATCAGGTAAAAGAAGCAGTGCTACCCAAAGCTGGCATGGCTCCTGGAAAGTCTGAAGACACCAAAATAAGGATAGAAGGAAAAACAGCAGTAATAGGTGGACCAGGAGAAGAGACCAAGCTGTCTTGCAGTTCTGAATTTCAACCTGAGATGTCACCACTGTGTTCCCTAAACACCCCATCCTCAAATGAAAAAGCCAAGTCACTGTTCCTCTTGGGGTAGGAAATGGATTTGAAATTAAGGAACACATTGTTCCAGTAATATTTATACAGTTGTGGGAAAATATGTGTAAAATCGCTTAAAAAAGAGTTTTTGAGGGAATGAAAATATGATTCAGGTTCAGTTAATGTGTGTGTTGAGAGGAGTCCTAAAGGGGTCTGTGACTATTATGCAAGGAACACAAAAATACCAATTTTGCCACCCAAAAATGGGGGTGCGACTATTGCACAGAGGCAACTAATCTGCACTGAAATACAGTATGCCTTTTGAAATGAAAAGAACAATAAAATGTCTGTAGCAGACTTAACACACAAGTTACATCATGGCAAGAGCTATGTATGTGGATTTTTCATCCAGGTGTCTGTATTTGTCACTTAAATGCTATGGGGTTCAGCAGAGAGGCCTAAGATCGGCCTGTCACTGGCCAGAGACCCCACAACTATCTTGTTTCAACAGTACATAAATAGGCATTTTTCAAATTTCAATACGGAGATTTTGTCAATCAAAAGCTTCCAACTTTTATCCTCCTAACAGTTCTTTTCTCCTGTCTAGAGAGCAGCCTTCAAAATTGGACCACGATGTGTTAACTGCATTACATGGCATGGAGATTGACTCGCAACGCTATCCTGCTACTTTCTGGTGGAACATGTCTGTACAATCCTATTCTCCTTCCGAACGGCAAAGGTACGCTCTGATTCTGTCAAAGTTAAAAGTGATCTCCTAATCCACCTGCTTCTTCCACTGAACGTTGTGTATAGATTTGAGAAGGAATCAATGTTCTCGGGCTGTAGTGCAAAGGCAGTATTGGCATATTGATCTGGCCACAGTGGTCCACGCTCTTGTTACATCCCGAATAGATTACTGCAACACACTCTACGTGGGGTTGCCTTTGAAGACTGTTCGAAAACTTCAATTAGTCCAGCGGGCGGCAGCTAGATTATTCACCGGAGTGTCATACAGGGAGCATACTACCCCTCTGTTATGTCAGCTCCACTGGCTGCCGATCCAGTTCCGAGCACAATTCAAAGTGCTTGTTTTGACCTACAAAACCCTATACGGTTCCAGCCCAGCGTATCTGTCCGAACGCATCTCCCTCTACGCCCCGCCTCGGAGTTTAAGATCTTCTGGGGAGGCCCTGCTCTCGGCCCCACCTCTATCACAAGTGAGGTTGGTGGGGACGAGGAGCAGGGCCTTCTCGGTGGTGGCCCCTGACCTGTGGAATTCACTCCCCGGGGAAATTAGGTCATCGACATCCCTCCTCTCTTTTAGAAGGAAATTAAAAACATGGATATGGGACCAGGTTTTTGGGTAATCTGGCAGATAGACAAAGGACAATTGACAACTAGAATTGATAGGATTTGACAATGTGGAATGAATTTACGGACTCTGAGCTGTCGAATGTTGAGCATTAGATTGGTTTTATTGATTATGATGTATAATTGATTGATTGTTTTAATTGTTTTTAATTGCTGTTTATGTATGTTTTATCTTATTGTTTGTGTTGGCATCGAATTGTGCCTATTGTAAGCCGCCCTGAATCCCTCCTTGGGGGTTGAGAAGGGCGGGGTAGAAATGCGCGAAATAAATAATAATAATAAATAATAGTACAGGGTTTCTTAAAACATTAACTACTCATGACCCCTTTCCACCTGAGAAATGTTTGATTTTTATACCTGTTTTATATACCTATGTTCCTTTTTTATGAAGCACAGCTGAAGCATCTTCTGCAGAGTCCACTGTAAATGCTGCATGTTGTTGCTTACAGATTTGTGTAAATGAGTGGCCTTCAGAAATCTTTTGCCAACTTTTGGGGGGACCCCAACATTGAGTTAAGGGGATCCCATTGGGAGTCGGGACCCACAGTTTAAGATGCAGCAGCATAGTGAGTGCTGGGCTAGCATACCTGAATGAACATATTCAAAATCTAGCATTTTCCTAATAAATCTTACTTAGAAGATCACCATCATTGTTTGTAAGAAGTCGTGTGCACACTGCCCAGTGCATGTTTAGTCTGGAATTGGAAAAGTGTGTTTCTTGTCCTGCGTTCAAAGGCTTCAGCCTCTGAACATCACTGACACTCAGAACATTGTTTAGCAGTCATTGGGTGTCCAGAAGGAATAAACAGATTTGGGGCTTGTCCTAGTGGCCAACGAAAATATGTTACATCCAGGACTCATGCATCCAAATGAGGAAAGAAAAGGCTTGATTTGGCTGTGTCTGTTGTAAAAGACTGGTTTTCAGAGTGTATTGAAAAGGGTATTCCACAAGTTGTTGTGTGCCTTCAAGTCATTTACAATTTATTGTGACCCTAAGGCCAAGCTGTCATGGTTTTTCTGGCAGGATTTATTCATGCGAGGGGGGGGGGGGGTCCTTAGCCAAATCGGGATTTGAACCCTGGTCTTTCTAGAGTCCCAACTACTACACCATGCTGGCTCTGTTTCACACATAAAAAACCTAAGCCTGGGTGACCTCTCCCTGTTGTTAAGGAGTGTGAGAGATTATTGAATCATATTCAATACTAAGATCTACACAAGCCAAACATTTTTTTCAGTTGAATATTCCAAGCATGTTTTAAATTTGCATTTTAATTCTGCATCTTGTATTTTAGTGTGGTGTTCCATTTCTTTGTTTTAACAATGTTGTGCCCTACCTTGAGTCGCAAGGAGGGGTGGGTACTATATGTTGTTGTTGTTATTGTTGTTATGTCCCCTTCCATTAGATATTTCTAAAGGACACATATTTAGCAACAGTCAATGAAATGTGTAACTATTTCCCCGCCACCACCACCATTTAAGTCTTATCCTGTTTTGATCATTGACATTAAAGATCCCATCTAGCATAAGGCTTTTATGTTCCTTTCTCCAGCTTTTCTTCCTCTTATAAAATGTATTGCCTTTCCTTCCAGCTGGTCAAGTCCCTCACTGAAAGGAAGATTCAAGTCTCGTGTGGCTTCAGCCCCCTCCAGTGGCCCAGCATTTTGTAGCCCAGGAAACATTAGCCCAACGTTCAGTAGTCCAGGAAAATACAATGCGGCGGCTGCCAACTTCTCTCCAGATTTTGGGAGTCCTGGGCGGTACACTCCGGCCTACGTCAACCACATTCTGCTGTCTAAACGGCAGAACTTCTCAGGACCATTCACCCATTAGAATATGGCTTTTTAGAACTGCAGTTAAGTGAAGAATAAAAATGAAGGCAGAAAAACTTAACATGATGTATCCCTGCTCCCTTTTATTTATTGTTGTAAGGAAAGTGGCTGCTTGCAGAGAGAATATCTTCATTCCATTTCCCAGATGATCAGTGGCTCATAGGTTAGAGCAGTGATGTGTTAAGAATACCTGACCTGTAAATCTAAAGTAAATTGTGGATAGAAATGGCTTTTGGACCTCTTGATGAGATCAGTTGCAAGTATAGTCTTATCTCCATGAATTCCTGGCCGTTGGACAAGCTGCCTAGGGCTTCTGGGAGTTGGAGGCCCAAATAGCTAAGGGCCACAAGTTGCAGAGGCCTGCTATAGGGGATTCCTAGAGGACACGTTTATCACACTGGCCTTCCAATTTCAGAGGAAGGGGGAAAGTTCCTGCTTTTCGGTGTATATGGGCTTTAGATTTTGGGATCAGCTAGAGGCATGTGCAAACTTTGACCCTCCAGGTGTTTTGGACTTCAACTCCCAGAAATCCCATCCAGCTTATCGGTTGTTAGGAATTGTGGGATTTGAAGTTCAAAACACCTAGAGGGCCAAAGTTTGCCCATGGTTGAGAATGACTGAAAGAACAGAGAATGCACATTTTGATTTCCTATGCTGTAAATATTTTTTAGAAAGATGATTTAAAGAAATGAACCCACCTCCCACCTTACCATAGACAGAAAAGTACTTTAGCAGTACCTCCCAAGTTATCTCTGGCCTGTTATTTAACAATACACCTCACTTTTTTTTAATTGCAGAGCTCGTTCTGCATTCAAAACATCTGGAGCAGATAAGAATGGTTCCATGAAATGCTAAATGCTGATGTTGATATGTTTTTAGAATACATTCTTTGAATTTACCAATGAGGACAAGCTCAATAGTTGTATTCACTTCAAGCCTTTTTATATTAGTCTAGCCAAGGCCTCTTCAACCTGCGGGCCTCCAGGTGTTTTGGACTTCAGCCCCCAGAAGTTCTGATGATTGGACAAGCTGGACAGAGATTCTGCGAGTTGGAGGCCCAAACACCTGGAGGGCTGCTAGTTGAAAAGGCCTGGTCTAGTCCTTACCACACACAAATAACCCTCTTTCTGTATACTGGAGATATGGACTAGAAGACACAAGCTTTGGCAGTGAGGAATGGGAAGGTATCTACCATACACATGGAAGGGAGCGGATGAGGGTAGAATTGTTATACCTGAAATCATTGTAGCAGATGAGCGAAGCTTTCCTTACATCAGGGGATGTAAGCAGTGTGATTCTGTGCACACTGGACTATAGAACACTTGTTTGTTCCTCATCGGCTGTGCAGATGGAAGTTGCAGTCAAACACCTGAGAAGTCCCATGTTCCCCAATCCTGCCTTAAACCAAGTGTAATAATGAGCATTATAGACACTGTTTGTGACTGTTTGATATTTTGGTACAAAACTCTAGAACTCCACATAAGACTTCCAATTCGATTAGTGCCTTCTGTCGTACTTTTTGGTTCTGTGTATTTGGATCTTGACTTTTAACAGCAAATACTGTTCACTAATAGAAGCAGTAACCACATTTTAATTTCCCGACACTTTTGAAAAGCATTCTTTTTAAACTGTCCTTTGTAGCCTTTGGAGAAATACTGTAAACATCCATGTATTAATTTGTACATTTACTAGACATGGCTTCAATGTAAATTACAACTTATGTCCAGTTTAGGATGTTTTTTTTAGCATACCAACTGTTTAAATGATCATTCAGATGTAATACAAGATTTTCTTGGGTGCAGTTTTGAGGTTAGTTTCTAACTTTGCAAGTCCATTATTAATAGGGTGCTATCTACACTATATAGTTACTTGAAGCTGGCTTTTCCTAGGCCTGTATAATCAAGGCGGCTGTAAGACTTTTGACAGCAGGCTAAATTGCCTTGAGTTCTGATGGGTACTTCTTGGAAGTCTCTGTGGCAGAAATCAGCTTCTAGAAATCTCATTAGCAAGGAATAGCTGGCTAATGACACTGTGCACACATCACAACTTATTCAAAAAGGTACAATAACAGTGTAACACTCGTTGTCTTAAGAAATATGCCATCTCCTTAGGTCCCTTGCAGGTAAAGCTTTCTTCACAGTATATTCAGAGGTCATTCTTGCTTAGCATCTGCAGCCCTAGTGGTTTGAACATATATTCAAAGCAACTGACCATGTTTTATAACTTCCTTTGCTTTTACTACTCTTGTTATATGCCGTTTTGTATTGGAGTGTTTCCGGAGCACAAACTATCAGTTTAACGCTTGTCTTAGGACAGCGGGAGGGGATCTTGAAGGGGTCGGTGTCCTGTGACTTAGTCCTTTTTGTCAATGTGTTCAAATACATTTTTAACAATATTAAATTTGTTTACCTAAAATGATTTTGTCTTCATTGACTCTGTATTACAAAAGCAGTTGTTTGGTCACAAGACAGCAAAATACTCCCCACCCACCCAATGTGCATATCACAGCTCTCAAAGTGTATGAAGCATTGTAACCACATTTCCCCCAAATGGCATGAGTGATTTAAGCAAAACACTGCTTAGCAGACATGGAGAGCACATATACCATATGTCATTGTGTAATAGGTGCGCTTTTTATCCTGGTTTTATTGAAAAAAGGGAGTGCGACTACTACGTGATTTAAAAAATCTGGCTCTGATCTTTTAGAACTGTTTTTCCTCCGAGATAAAAGGAGGAGGGGGATCTAGCCTCAAACAAAGAGCTCTGTTTGTTTTGTTTGTTTTTTTTTTAAACTGCCTTGCCAATGATGAAAGAAGATTCCCCTTATGTTCCTCCTTTTCCTGATGACAAGCCAGTTTACAAAATCTGAAATGGAGCTCTTTGGAGAACAGAGGAAGGAGAGAAAATCCAAATTCCAGAGAACTTTCTTTCCTAGTTTTTAAACTGCCTTGTCTTCGGAGGGAGGATGGATCAGTCCCAAATGGCTGTGACTATTATACGAGGAACACAAAAATACCAGTTTTGCCACTCAAAAAATGGGGTGCAACTATTATGTGATGAAATATAGTATTTGAAAACTTTGTCAAAATTGTGAAAAAATTTACAAAACTTTAGTACATCCCTTTTTTAAAGGAACAGGGAATTCTATTGTGAAGGGAGGGGCACACGAAAATACACTGTAAACATTAATGAGTATTATGGAAACTTGTTTAGAGGGGACAAGATAAGCACAGCTTTACAGGAAATTTAATATCAAAGAAGCTTTGTGAAAGTCAAAACATTTATTTTTTTCCGACATTTGTCATAACTTTTTTTGCGTATTGATTTAAAAAGACAACCACCATTTCCCTCGAGGACGGAAGGATCTTATAGTCATGGAAGCCCCACTTCTAAATTTGTTATAATTAGCACCTAAGTATCCCAGAGGTTTCTTCTCCCAGGAAGAGGGTGAAAAAAAAGACTAGGTGGTTCTAACAGTTAATCATTGCAGAGATGCAGGAGTGGTCAAGTTGGTCTTAGATTAGTGAGAAGGGACTCCTATGTCCAGGAAGAATATCTCTTCAACCTGGAAACAACTATTTTTTGGCTCACATCAGGAGGGTCCCGGCTTCTTGGTATAGTTAGATCACAGCCTAAGATTTAACTTGCTGACACTTGAATGGCATTTGCAGTGCAGCCGCTGACCCTGTTCCAGATGGCACTGGATTGCAATCCCCAACATTCCTTTTCTTGTATTTACGCTGGCTGCAGCTGATGGAATGTGTAGTCCAATGTCTAGAGAGTGAAATACTTCCTGCTCACGATACAGCTTTAGTATCTGGATATAAAAATGTTTGAATTTTTGACAATTGTTTTCTGAGCCTGCAGCACTTTTATCTTCCTCCTACAGAAAGGGGGGGGGGGGGAGGCTCTAAACACAGGAATAGACTTTGGTTAGAAGCTACAGCTGTTTTCTGTTAGTCAGCCAAGAAAAAGTCCACCCAACATGAGTTCAATAGGTAGACAGTCTCAATAGGATCTTCCTTCCATTAACTACTGCTGCAAAGCCACCAGTTACTGTCGCAGTGTAGGAGAATCAGGCAAGTCCAAAGTTACATTGCAATAGGTTTTTCCCCCTTGGCTGAAAAAGCTTCCTGTTTACATACAAATGAAGCAAGGATGTGGGGGAGAGTAGGCATTGGTTGATTAGCATTGGGAAACCTCATATCCCACCGAGCCAGACGCCTATACCACAGTTGTACAGACACAAAGTGCTCCAGAAAGGCTCCCTTAGTTGCGCGTGATTTTCTCTGGAGGCATAAACCCTGTGTCCCCAAGCATCCGAAGAGCCACTCGGCCACTTGGACGGATCACCAAGTGGGTGATGCTGCCGTTGTTGAGGGAGATCCGAAGCCAGCCTTCTGGAGGGAACTGCAATGCTCTGCAAAAGAAAAAGAAAAAAGAAAGACCCAGTGTGGTTCAACATATTTATCCACGACTTGGATGAAGACATAGAGGGTGTGCTGATCAAGTCTGCAGATGATACCAAATTAGGAGGGATAGCTAATACTCCAGAAGACAGGATCAGAATTCAAAATGACCTTTACAGATTAGAGAGCTGATTGACCAAAAGTGGCAGAATGAATTTCAACAAGGAGAAATGTAGGATAAGACACTAAGGCAGAAAAAAGGAAATGCACAGATACAGGATGGGTGATGCCTGGCTCCACAACAGAGTTACATGTGAAAGAGATCTTAAGAGTCTTAGTGGACAACTAGTCGAACATGAGCCAACAGAGTGAAGCAGCAGCTAAATAAGCCAATGGGAGTTTGGGGTCCCAGAGAATGAAGTAAAATCATAGAGTTGGAAGATACCCCAAGGGCCATCCAGTCCAACACCCTTCTGAAGGCAGGAAAACAGCTCAGCTAATTCCAGTCACCATTTCTCTCTCCTAGCACTTAAAAACACTAATCAGCTATGATACTTACATAATTGCAAAACCACAAAAGTACCAAGAACTTACCTTTTCAAAACACTGACAAAATTTAATTATTGCCCCAAATCCTCTGTAAATTGGATATATTTTAAAAAGGAAAATATTCATATCAGAGACACATTATAATAGTCCCTCCTCCCCTCCATGCTTCTTTCCTGTCAGAGTTCCAAATACAACTTGGGTGGCTCTAAGAGCCAAAACAGATTTCTTAATCGGGAATGGAGACCAATTTTGACCTTTTTTGTACATACTGAGGCATTTCAACCAAAAGCTATGAACATGTTGGCTCAGGCATGTCCAGAGACACTCAACGAAGAGGTGAAGCCAGTTGATGTGTTCAAAGCTGCATTCCCTTCCTGCTTTGTCCATTCATTTCCAAATTTTCACAGATCGTGACATAAAAGTCTCCTTTCCTGCATGTTCTGGCAGGAAACCTTTGTATAATGTTGCACAAAGCTCAAACACAACTGATCAAAGACAGAGCTGAACTGTACGCAATACTGTGAATAGCGACTGTGCCTCACATAGAAGAGTTTTCCAATTCAAAAGGGAAACCCAGTTCTGAAGCCAGAAAGGCAATCAATCAGCTAATGGGGGAATAGGATAGCAGCTCAACCAAAATAAATGCTGCCCTGGTTTTTAGGCCTGTTCATGGGGTTATTTGGGGCGGTGATGCAGAAAATTGCATTGGATAGACTATATCAGCTCCAGTTTCTTAAATATGGTTATTACGGATTCCTATGGGCAACTGGTAGATCATATGTTCTGTATCTGAAAAACTAGAGCTGATGGGGGGAAATGGATGCCATTTTTAGTGAGTCAAATATACCCAAAAACAGGGCTAACCTTTGAGGCATTATTTTTTTTTGTTTGCAAGTGTAATATATGGCATAGGTGGTTGGACTATAATGCTCATCAGGATGCCTTCAATATTGGGTCTTCTGAATAGGTCTGATAGGAGTTACAGTTCAATGATATTTGGGAGCCTAGGTTTCTGACCCTGAGCTACACAAGAGGGTCCTAATGCAGAGATGTCAAACTTGTAGTCCTCCAGCTTTTTGGGACTCCAACTCCCAGAAGCCCCAGCCAGGTCGTCCAATGGCCAGGAATTCTGAGAGCTGAAGTCTGAAACACCTGGAGGGCCACAAGTTTCGACACCACTGCAACTAGGGATTATCCTTTTAATGATTAAGCATTGCAATGGTTACCAAAATTATTCACTTTGCTGAAGTATTTGAAAGTACTGCAAACAGAGCAGTAGATTGGGAAATAAAGGTTTTATTTTTCCATTTTAAAATTCACAGTATATTTAGCATGGAAAATCTGTTCATTTCTAAATCCCCTGCTCAAAAAATGAGGATTAGATCAAAAGCTTCCACATTAATCCGGCAATCATATGGTATGCAAGCAGCTGCTCATATTATTAGACACCCGTCTTCCCCAAATGCCTCCGGATCTCTGAATCACATCTGGTCCCTGAGTACAGTGTGCTCAAGCCAATTTGAAAGACACTTTCCAAACAATTCCAACCAAATTAACGACAGCCCAGCAATTACCTGCAAACTATGTAACGAATGACATTGGCATGACAAACAAAGATTTCGTAGCTATCCTCTTCCTGCTTTACATCGGCCCGGTGGATGTAGTTTCGGAATGCAGCTTCAATGCGGGCCCCGTCTTCATAATACTGCTAAAAACAGATAATTGGTTATTGGCATAGATATTAAAAACCAGCTCAGGATTTTTATTTTCATTTTAGAATCCAAGGCAATTGTCCTTTCTGATTGAGACCTGAAGTTCAACGTCATTCATACATCCGTAACCTCTCTGGATTACCGCAATGTGCCTTACATAAGGTTCTTTGGGAGCTTTAACTGTCAGATCATCCATCTATCAACAGGCACTGACCATGGAGAGGGGACACTCTCTGAACCCAGTCCAAAACTTGCCTTTAACAAACTCAAACAGCCTAAAAGCCATGTATTTCAGGTAGCACAATCTCCCATTAGTGTATGTAGTGCATGTTCCACTATACCAGAGTTGTCTAAACTTTTCCTGTTGGTGACATGCTTTTGAGACATGCATCCTTTCATAACATGGTAATTCAGTTTTATGAGCAAACCAGAGATCAAACCAGTCCCTTATAAGAGTTTTTCTCTCTCTTTCTAATATGATAGGTAGATAGGTAGATAGATAGATAGATAGATAGATAGATAGATAGATAGATAGATAGATAGATAGATAGATATAAATCATATAATCTTTACTGTATAAATGAAATTGGATTTTTCCTTTACACTTCCTTTGCTACTTGCATAGTCTCCTCTATAGCCGCTTCATCACAAAAATCATTATTAGATTTTCTTTTCATAATGAGAAACCTATCCATTTTAGGGGCAATTACTGCAACTCAATCAACAAATTATGTAAATTACAAAAGTTCTATCAGTACATACACTTGAACAGCAATCTCTCTTAAAATCTCTCTGGAATTTTTTAAACAGAGACTGGATGACTATCCAGGGATACTTTGATTGTGTCCTCCTGTCTGGCTGAAGGGGGTTGGACTAGATGCCATTTGTGGGTCTTCTCCAGTGAAGTCTCCTTCTCTGAAAGTTTCTAAATTGAGGCTGGATGGCTGACTGTTGGGAGGGCTTTGATTGTGTCTTCCTGTCTGGCTGAAGGAGGTTCGACTTCAGACTCTTCTTCACCTCATTATCTCCCCCCCCCCCACCCAAAAAAAAAACCCTCTATGGACTACAGGCGTAACATTCGTATGTTACGACACACAATTTGGAAAGCTCTGATTTATAACACAAAGGTTTTGCTCAGCTGCCTTTTATTTACCAATGCCATTAGAGTAAGCCCTTCATCCTGCTCCTATCTCTGATGTTCCAAATTATAATTCCCACAATCTCTTCTGCTGGTTAGAACTGAGGAGAACGGCAGCCCAAACCACCTGGAGGCTTTGTTAGAGAACTGAGCCCATTTACTGGAGAGGAGAGCTCCAATTCATTGGAAGTCTGGGCCAAATGGCAACGCTTTGTGCTGTCAAAAGAACAAACTGAGAGGCAGGGAAATTTAGGTGACAAGGAATACATTTTGGCTGTCTCAGGATAAAAAAGTCCCCTGGGGAAACTCATTCAATTTGTTCTAAGTGAGCCCAAACATCACGGCAGGAAGGCAATGGTGTGTGCCAAACGTTACCACTGCTTCAGGTTTCCAGTGAGAGCTGGGAGGATTTGGTTCAATTGGTGCTCCCTCACGCAACAAATCTGTGCTTGATTTTGTCACCCCTGCAGAGAGAGGAAAAACGATCAATGTTAAAAGCCTTGTCTCCTGAAAACAGTCCCGTGTGTGATACTGGGATGTTTTTTCCCCAGTCTCTTCATGTACCACCCCTACAAATACACAGATGCTTAACTCTATGAAGAAGATTTTGAAAAGGCATAAGCCGATAATGTATTTCTTCAATTCTGAAACACACTTTTCTCCCTATATAAACATCTCTAAAATGGGGTGCATCTTAATCGCAGGTGTATCTTATATATTTTTGTTGGTGGTGGTGGTACTGAAATTAGGGTGCGTCTTGCAACTGATGGCATCTTACAATTGAATAAAAACAGTATATTATGGGAATTTCAAGCGATTTCAGGCACTTTCATTCCAAACGACTCTATCTGGCTTTGCAGGCTTCAAAGAGAAGGCAGGACATCCATATATCAAGCTAAGATCCCCAGTTATGGAACTCAAAGTAGTAAATAACTACATCCTCATTCCTACTCATTTCATCTTCACTCTCTTTAAGAGGTCAGAAAAGTTTAAATACAGGGTGTTTCAAAATGATGGACTCAGTTTCAAAACAGTCTATTTCACAATGGTGACATGGTACAATTACATCAAAAATTTAGATACAGTTGAAGGAGTTATTGAGTTACCAAGTTTTACTATCAATTTTGAGCCAGAAACAAAATTTAAAAATAACTCCGTAAATCGAGAATTTCATTAGCCCTTATGTTGTGGGGTAACTATCTTTCGAATGACTAGGGACTGTTTGTGCACAGGAAGAGGTACTTAATGGTAATCCTTTGAAACGATGCCTCACTATATTAAGTGGCAAAGAGTTCATGAATCATAAATAACTGTACGATTCATTGATGGTTCGCAGTTGTGGAGATATAGTGATTTCAATTTAGGTCCTTCGAGCTGCAAGAAGTTGCAAGTAATAAATGTGTTGTTGTTGGAACACCCTGTAGAATTCTTTCTCAACCTTAAAAAAGACCACCTTAGATCTTTTCCTTTCTCCTACAGGTCATCTCTGCCTTCCTGTAAGTTTTAATACTCAGTTTCCATCTCTACTTGCAATCCCTACATTTCTGCCATTGGGTTTTCTCCTCCATTTTGGTCCTATTCTGCCCTTCTTTCATCACTAATAGCTAACTTTTAGAAGTCCAGAAATACTCCATAACAAGAAGGATGTCCTACTCTTCTAATTCCACATTGTACAAGCACAGGATTGCAATTGTATTATCGTATTAACATTGCAGTGACTGTATATGATGGTGATATTATTTCCTTTCCCCAAGGCCTGCAATACAGAAGGATCTGAAAATATTTTAACGCAAAGAGTTTTTTCAGACTGATGCTCCTTGTTTGCTTCCTAGATAACATTATCAGTTACTTGTGTTCAAGGACTATTTCACATAGTTTCAAAGTGCAGGGTTAGACTGATTTCAGACAGCTGAAGTTTGTTCATATACTAGGCCATTCTTGTCTCAAGAGAAATGAAGAAAAATAACATGTGACCCATGCCTTTTGCACTAGAGTGTGCAACGTAAAATAAATATGTATCATGTCTGGGCTTAGGATAGGTTTATTTACCATGTGGCGCAATGCATTCCAAGATGTGAGATCCTTCAGTGTTTTGCTTCTGGTAAACAAGAGTTTTGGAACTTCATAGAATATCATAACTATCTTACAATGCTAAGTCTTGCAAGTTGCACACATTCTGAAGGTGATCCATCACCAGGGCTGTCTTGAAATCAAACCAATCCTCTCAAACCATGTATCCAAAACCAACTGGTTGAAATGCTCTAAACTGTAGTCAGATGGGTCAACCCTTGTGGCCATAAATGTACATATAGACACACAGGCAGTTGATGATTCACTTCCAGAATCCACTTACCAGGAAGATATTTACTGATGATGTTGGTGGTCTCAGTTGCTCTGGTCATAGAAGAATGTACAATTTTATCAAATCTCAGTCCCAAGCTGGCAAGCCTTTTCCCCGTCAACTCTGCTTGCTCACGGCCTAAAAAGCAATTTGAAAATATTTGAACATGTCCTTGGCACATTCAAAGAAAATGTCTGGTCTCTCACATCACAGCCAATGTTTCCAGGTAGGAAATTGCTGCCTTTGCCATAATTTATGCTTGCAATCTTTGCTTAAAAGAATGTTTGCATTGGTCTCCTTTTGTTTGTAATTGTTGTCCTAGTGACATCAAGGTACATGGCACTTAACTGAAATAAGAACACAGAACAGTAAGTGGTATAACAATCCCTTCTGTCCCAAACAATAATGATCTGGCCCCTTCTGCTGAGGTTTTCCTGAGCTACTTTGCAGACAAGATCTCGCTTCTCCGCCAGGATCTCCCTGCCATGATTGATACAGTAAGTGAACTTGAGACTCCGTGGCCACTCGCTGGGCACATCCTCGACCGGTTTACCCCGCTGGATGCAGAGGCTGTCGATAGGATCATGACTGCAACTAGACCGACCACCTGCTCCCTTGATCCGTGTCCCTCCTGGCTAGTAAAATCTTGCCTCCTCCAGGTTGATTACGTGAACCTCTGTTGAATATAATAAATAGCTCCCTTGAACAAGGAGTTTTTCCAGAGGGTTTAAAAGAGGCGATCGTATCTCCGCTGCTGAAGAAACCAGACTTAGATCGTTCGGTTCCCTCTAGCTACCACCCAGTCTCGAACCTTCCGTTTCTGGGCAAGGTGGTTGAGAGGGCAGCAGCGGAACAGTTGCAGCAGTTCCTTAATGACACAGCCGGACTTGATCCCTTCCAGTCCGGCTTCCGTAGGGGGCACGGGACGGAGACTGTGCTAGTTGCCATCACAGATCAGCTTCGCTGCCAGATGGATCAAGGCGGATCAGTGCTGCTTGTGTTATTGGACCTCACAGCAGCATTTGATACGGTCGATCACAATCTATTGACCCACCGCCTAGCCATGACTGGGGTTAGGGGGAGACCCCTTAAGTGGGTGTCCTCCTTCCTCCAGAATTGGGGACAGCGTGTGGTGAGGGGAGGGATGGTTTCCGAGAGATCTCCGCTAACTTGCGGGGTCCCACAGGGAGCTATTCTCTCTCTTCTATTATTTAACATCTATATGCGACCGCTTGCCTGGCTGGTGCAGAGCTTTGGGCTTGAGTGCCACCAGTACGCTGATGACACTCAGCTCATTCTGAGGATGGAGGGCCGGCCGGACTCTGTACCCGAAAATTTTCATCAGTGCCTTGAGGCTGTTACTGGATGGTTGCGTGCCAGCAGGTTGAGGCTGAATCCAGCAAAGATAGAGATCCTTTGGCTGGGCCGTCCGGGTGGGAGGGAGATCCAGCTGCCTACCCTGGATGGTGAGACACTACGTCTGTCACCTTCTGTAAAAAGTCTTGGTGTCTTATTGGACCTGCTGCTCACAATGGAGGCCCAGGTCTCTGCTGTGAGCAGATCTGCGTTTTTCCATCTACGTCAGGCTAGGCGACTGGGTCCCTACCTATCTAGGAACGACCTGGCTACGGTGATCCAGGCGACGGTCATCTCGAGGCTTGACTACTGTAACGCCCTCTACATTGGCCTTCCTTTGTCAGCGATCCGGAAACTGAAGCTGGTGCAAAATGCGGAGGCTCGTCTTCTCGCCAAGGTGCCGGCGAGGTGTCGTATCACCCCAATTCTACAACAGCTGCACTGGCTACCGATTGAGTACCGGATTACTTTCAGGGTGCTGGTACTAACCTTTAAGGCCTTAGATGGTCTGGGGCCAGCGTACCTGAGGGCCCGCTTATCCCCCTACCAACCCCAGAGATTACTTCGGTCTGAAGACCAAAATTTGCTTGCAGTCCCCAACATCTGGACTTATCATCTGTCCTCTACTAGGCAGAGAACCTTCTCGATTGTAGCCCCTTATTTATGGAATGCCTTGCCAGTTGAAACCCGATCTATCCGAGACCTACTTGCTTTTCGGAAAGCCTGTAAAACCTTTCTCTTCCGACAAGCTTTCGATGGGTGAATAACTCGGGACTATGACTGTTCTTGTTTTTATTGTATTTTAAAGTTAATTGCATTGTTTTAATCTACTGCTGTAAACCACTCCGAGCCAAATTGGGAGTAGCAGTATACAAGTCAAATTAAATAAATAAATAAATAAATAAATAAAAAATAAAAGGAAACAGTACACAATTATGTCAGTTTATCTTGACTGGACTGAGTTACAGGCTCACAGTTGCAACATAGCAACCGTCCCCAATCTGAGGCGCTCCCAATATTTTGTTCTACATCTCCCATCATTCATTCCTATTAGCCATATTGTTTAGGACTGGTGGAAGTTGTAATCTATCACCTCTGGAAGCATAAGGCTGAGGAAGGTATGTGATGGGAACTGAGGGGTTGAGGACCTAGGGAGATGGACTACATCCCTAGATGATCCTCAAACAAACATAATTTTCCTTTAGGACTATTTGTTGATCCTATATGAAGTGAAGCACGCTTAGTTTTCAAGATTAGACAGATTCTGGTGTCTTTACAGGAGTGGTTTCCAAACTTTTTTGATCCTGGAACCATTCAGAAGAGCCCCAGGTCCTACCCTGGCCAACAGTTAGGTCCCTGCTCTGCACTCTACCCACTTTCCTGGCCACCTGCTACCTTATTGCCCTTAATCTGGCTTAGCTCTATTATAGCTATTCAGCAGGCCCTGGAAATGAATAGCCCCAGGCACTACCTTGACCATTAATTAAGGCTCTGTTCTGCTCTTTACCCACTTCCCCTGCCCTATATCTCCCATTGGCCCAGCCCTCTCATATCTGTGCCTCAGGTCTTGGAAATAAATAGCTCCAGGTCCCATCCTGACCATCATGCAGGATCATGACTGTACTTTATGCACTCCCCTGGCCCTAGTTTACCTCATTATATTAGGCCAGCCCTCCCATAGTTATCGAGGCCCACTCTCAAATCTTGGTAATAGGAAATTGAACTTGCCCGATGGAATTAGCACTGAACTGGTTTTTAATTTTAAATATGTATGACTGTTTTATAGTATTACATCTTTGTTTATAATGATTAATTGTACATTTTTATGTCTCTAATTGCAATGTTTGACCTATGCTGGAAACCACCTTGAGTCCCCTTGGGGAGATAGAGCGGTATACAAATAAAAGATGATGATGATGATTATTATTATATTAGTTTTTCCCAAAGAAGCCTACTTTGTCCCTGACTTTCCTGCAAAACCCTACCCCTAAGCCCACACAATCCAAATCTTAAGGTCAAAGTGAATATGAAAACACAGACATTCAAGAAAAGCTGCCCACAGGTTGGGAACATCACATCACTTCTAGGTAGCTATGCAGAACCTAGACAAAGCACTGCATGAATCTGTCTCTACCCCAGCGTTAGCATTAGAAACCTCAAAGACCTTATAAACCTTTTAAAGAGCAATGTGTTCAACTCCCCAACAGAATGGCTTTACACAAAGACTTGAGACAGAAAGTCTGCTTGCAGAAGTGATGGACCTGTAACACTGAACTGGTAGCACTGGGGCCAGGAAGAGACTTTTAGGCTAGTAACTATTCACACAGTAAATCTACGATCACATTTTTATACCTCAGCACAGACTAAATAGACCAGGGCAGCATTTTATTAGGAAAGACACTGGGTAGGAAGGACACCAGGTTCTGCAATTATCTTGAGGACTTAGGGACAACAGAATAGTTTTCCCATATTTTTAACCAGCTGCAAGTCACCTTGAAGATTACTTCAATGAAAGGTTATCAGACTCTATAGAACCTATACTATAAAAGCTAAATGTCTCCATGGGTTATAGAATGAAACTGGCTATGCAATTAAAAGAAAAACCAATACAAGTCAGTCTCTCCTGTTATCCTTGCAGCAAAGTGCCAAGCATACATACCCAACTGTGTCAGGATCCGATCTTTATCATTTTGCCCATCTGTATTGTACTGAGAGTGGCGTATGAGGAATATGTTCCTGGTGGCTTTTGCTTTGTAGTGGGACAGGCGAGCAGAGACCTCCTCTTCTCCAGTCTCTTGGTTTTTCTTCTTCAGATTCATCAGGGCCAAGGGTTCTCGTCTGAAAGCAATGTTTAAATGTATCTTTGAAATAAAGATATGGCAAGGTGATCAGACCGTCATCTTTGGTACCAAACGTTCTTTGGATGGATTAGCACGAGAGACATAACAGCATATTCTGACATCCTTCATATAACCACATACTGAGAAGTACAGTTTCTCGATGTGGTCTCTTCTGCTAATGTTAAAGGAATAAGCAATACATCAAAACTGGTAGTGTGTTGAAGAGAAGAGGGATAGCAGCACAGTTAAAAATAAGAAGCTTAAAGAATCTGGATTTAGGCCCATGCAAATCTGAAGCTTCCCAAATGTACTCATATGTCTACATTTACTGGCCAATACATCTTCACTGTTCCATCAATATAACAACCTCGCTGCAAAAGAAGGTCCAGACTGATTTATGCAGCACTATAATCCATTTAGAACATTGACTTATTTGTTTAGGCATGTCTGACTCGTTTTCTAATGCTATCTCCGCTTTCAACAACAGTGGAAACAAATCCTTGGCACACAATTTCAGACTATTTTTGTAAAAAATATTGAAATATATTATAGGCAAATAAACAGGCTGTTTAAAGTTCCATGAGGGGAAGACCAAAGAGGTATGCAGTTCCTCCCACCCATTTGCAGGTTTGATTTTTTAAATAGATTTAATTATTTACGGATTTGATTAAAATGGTCTCTCTAGGAATCCCAACTTCTGAGCATAGTTATGCTGGTGCATGAGATTCCTAGAAAGGTGTTCTCTTGGGTTAAAAAAGCACCCTTTTATTTGCAGTTTTCTCTTTTGCAGGAGTCCTGTGCCCCTAATTTTGGCAATTTGCGGGTTACACAGTCACAGATCTAATTATTTTATTAATTATTATTATTATTATTATCATATTTATTTACACCCTGCTTTTCTCTCTTCATTTAGACCCAAAGCAGCTCAGAACATAAAAAACAAAGTTTAAAATTTAAAACATATAAATAGAATTAAATCTATAAGTCAGGTAAAACCACTTAATATGCTTATTACGGTATTGTCGAAGGCTTTCATGGTTGGAATCACTGGGTTGTTGTAAGTTTTTCGGGCTGTATGGCTATGTTCCAGAAGCATTCTCTCCTGACATTTCACCTTCATCTATGGAGAGGATGCCTGTCATAGATGCAGGTGAAACGTCAGGAGAGAATGCTTCTGGAACATGGCCATACAGCCCAAAAAACTTACAACAACCCATGCTTATTACTACATTTGCCACTGTTTTAAACTACCCTCATAATGCATCCTTTAGCCACTGCACTATTTTCTTATTGGATAGCCATACGATCATTGCTTAACTTGCTATGCTGTAACCATTAGTACTCTTTTACATTAGCAATTTTATTACTCTTTTGTATGATAATTACACATCTCTTTTCACCATCCTACCTATAATTTCAATATGCATTAAATGTACTCTACTTCTGAACATGTTGCTGGTTCAAATATCATTCCTCCTTGTTCACTGAAGCCATAGGTCAAGGGTGACAAAGAAAACAAAGCCCAATTTTCATGGAGGGAAACAATCAAGTTTGACCCGATGTCACTACACAACAGGCCTGTAATAAGCCTCTTCAGTTAATTTATTTAAGCCACGCAACTACAGTAGGTTCAATCCATTATGAAATTAAACTCCAGTAGGATTTTTGCTCAGATTTACCATTATTAATCCAGCAAGGAATTACATAAAAACCAAAGCTTAATGCACTTCAGTAAGAGAAAGTGTGAACTAACATCCATGGGCATCAGTGGCCTGAGGTACATTATTCTGCATGACTCTGAGCACTTTATTGCTGGAAGTTGCTGGACTGATGTTTGACATCTATATGAATAAAAATGTAATGTTTGTTTGTGGAATTAACATAACTCAAAAACCACTGGATGAATTGCTCCCAAATTTGGCCACAAGATACCTACTAACCCAAGGAGTGACCATCACTCAAATAAAAATGATTTTGTCATTTGGAAGTTGTAGTTGCTGGGATTTATAGTTAACCTACAATCAAAGAGCATTCTGAATTCCACAAATGATGGAACTGAACCAAATGTGGCACACAGAACTCCCATGACCAACAGAAAACACTGGAAGAGTTTGGTGGGCATTGACCTTGAGTTTGGGAGTTGTAGTTCACCTACATCCAGAAAGCACTGTGGACTCAAACAATGATGGGTCTGGACGAAACTTGGCACGAATACTCCATTTGCCCAAATATGAACACAGATGGAGTTTGGGGGGAAGTAGACCTTAACATTTGGGAGTTGTAGTTACTGGGGTTTACAGTTCACCTACAATCCAAGAGCATTCTGAACCCCACCAACAATAGTTTTGAGGCAACCTTCCCACACAGAACCCCATGACCAACAGAAAATACTTAAGGCCATCCAGTCCAACTCCCTTCACCAGGGCAAGAAAACGTAATCAAAGCCCTCCTGACAATGAGCCATCCAGCCATAGATATAGATAGATATATATGATTCATACACAGAGAGATATAGTATCATAGATTTGAAAGGGACCCCGAAAGAAGGACAATTATATGATACATGTTCCAGAGCAGGCAAACCAGACGGTCTCTACATCAACAAGAAACAACAAGAAATACTGTTTACCCACCAGCATAAAGAAATTACACATATTAGAAACCAACACTTTCTCATTTCTTTATTTTCCAGTTCACCAGACTGGGCCACAGCAATGCATGGTAGGGGATGGCTAGTTCTAAATAAATAAACAAATCACATTTAAATAAACCAAGCAAGAAACAAAGCTGTGTGACCAGATACTAGGATGAAATATAATCTAGTATCTTTTCAAGATTGTTATGGAAGGATGCAACCCCTAAGAACAGGCTAGGCTGCTGTCTGGTAGAAAACGCACCCTGGAAACTGCAACATTCCCTACTGCAAAACTGAAGGATCACAAAGATGAATTAAAATCAGTCGGACAGAAGCTTCTCTAAGCAAATATGTCCATTATTATTGAAGGGCTTTGGATGGCCCAGATTGAACAGGGATAGAGAAACCTCATGGGGATTCATTATGCTAGAGCAAGTGCAAACAGTTTGCATTGGAAATATTCAAAATGCCGTCTCCACTGACAAAGTACTTGAAAGTGAAACTAAATGCAAGAGAGATGAATAGCACAGAACTCAGAAATGGAAAAATCAACTACAAGTATGTGGCAATTTGGACTAGAAATAAGAACTAGATTTGATGTCTCCAAGATTCAAACAATTTAAAGGTCTGAAATCCTATTTCAGAAAAGGAGAAATAAATATTGTCTCTGATGCCAGGATTTAATGAGTGATTTACATGACATCATAAACATAGCCACTAGAAAAATGTTGAAGGAGACTAGACGAAATTGGCCCTGTGCTCATTGAAATTTAATATCCAAGGTGTCAAATCAGATTTCAGATTTGAATAAATGTGTACTTGAAAGAAATGGGATTTAGAGCATTATCTGAATTTCTTCAGTTTAGAGATTACTGGACAAATAAACAATTTTTAAGAATCTGCTGAAAAACAGCTCAAAGAGGTCACAGTGGCTGTTCAGATTCTCACAATGATTGTACAGTCTATTTGTCTAATCGCATCTCCCTATACAGGCCATCACATGCACTGTGGTCAATGGAAGAGGCCCTACTCCAGGCCCGTAGCCAGGATTTCATTTCGGGGGGGGGGGGGGGGGGGTTCGGGGGGGGGCTGAGTTTCGGGGGGGGGGGCTGAGTCTGAGTGAAAGAGGGTCTACCCTCGCAAACCTTTTGTATCGTTACCCCAATACCCCCATGCATATGGGATATATTGAGTATGGTGATCAGATCATGATATGAATAAACATAACAGTTTAAATAATGCACCAGTAAGGCCTTTTCGCGAACCACCATGAGAATTTCTGGGGGGGGGGGTGAAGCCCCTCAACGAGCCCCCCCCCCCCAGCTACATGCCTGCCCTACTCTCGGTCCCACCCCATCACAAGCATGGTTGGTGGGAATGAGAGAGGGGACCTTCTCTGTGATCGCTCCCCATCTCTGGCACTCCCTCCCTAAAGAAATAAAATGCCCCCCAGCCTCTTCTGCAAAAACAAACAAACAAACAAACAAACACAAACCAAAAACCCCAAACCTCTTGATAACATACCTATGCACTTTAGCATATGGAGTGGAGGAGTACTAGGAAACTTTTAATTCCATTGGAATGCTGGCTAACTTATCTGTATTCCACTGCTGCTATGGTACATGTGAAAGAACCACGATAGCCATTTTATGTATTTTAATCATACTCTCAGGGTTTATGACTTAATTGTTAATTATGTTATTAGTATAATTATGCCTATTTGATTATTTGTATTTTGATTTTCATTTTGATGGTAATTCTCTTTCGTTATAAGATTACAGTTATTATCTTGTATTATCATTCTGAGGTGTATTTGCCAAGGGCACTAAATGTTTGCCTTTTTGTGTGTAAACTGCCCCGAGAAGATGGTCCATAAATAATGATGATGATAATGATGATGATGATGGTGATTATTATTATTATTTTTATTATTACAGCAGGATTTGGAAAAAGTATAGAATAGAATTAGGGTGAAAGAATCAACATGAAAAGAAAGACAGATAAAGTTGAGAACTCTTTTTAAAAGCTTTGGTGGGCCTAATAAACAGCTCTGGTGATAATGGCACAAAACCCACTGGATTCAATGAAATCTCTTTGGGAGAAAAGTCAAGGTTTTTGGAAAATAGAAAAAAATGGACTAAATATCTGGGAGTTACAATCACAAAAAACAGTTTATTATTTCAAAACAAAGAGAAAAAAGTCTGGAAAGAAATTTAAGAGAGACTTGGAAACATAAATTTATGTCTGCTGTGTAGAATTGGAGCAATAAAAGCACATGTTTTGTTAAGGTTTTTCTTTCTCGTTCAAACAATCCTAGTTATAAAAAAATGGAATACCTTTTGTACAATGTAAAAAAAAAAGATTTCCATACTTGCCTGACAGGCATAGAAACCCAGAGTAAATGTTTAAAAACATTGCACAATACTAAGGAAAAGGATGGTCTGGGAATCCCTAACATCAAATTATATGGCTAGGCTTGTTATTTTGTGCGGCTAAAGCAATGGATTTTGCTTAGAGATGTGGGGCTTTTGGAACCTGAAAGCCATAATTTAGGATTTGCTGGCATGGTTATCTGCATAAATGGTGTTTGAAAACGAGCCTTTAAAAGAGTAAACAATAAGGTCTGCCCAATATTTTCAGCATGTTGTTTATATGGATGTATGTGAAAAACAGGGTCCAAAGATATATAATTTACTATGTGCAGTAATTATTTAAAGATGTTTGGTATGATGTATAAATGGTGTCTAACCGCAAAATGCTTCAAACCAATGTTGAGGGTGTTAAGTAAAGAACAGGAAAATTCTAAGAAAGTGAAATGTTAATGGTCTAAAATTTATATGTTAATCTAAAAAATATTAAAGGTAGATTTTTTAATGTTACCAGAACTATTTCGATTGGGCATGATGGATGAAGATCTGGAGAATAAATATGAATTGCTTCTTTGATATATGACAGCAAGAATATTGATAGTTTAACCTTGGAAATGGACTGAAGCACCCAAAATGGCAGAATGGCTTGTTAAGGTTGCAGAGTCAACCCAAATTGCCAAATTAATGAGGGTTCTAAATAATAAACCAATTGAAGACTTTTTGAAAGGTTGGACATGGTTTATGAATTTTTTGAGCACAAAGAAATCTAACAATGCAATAATCTGTTTCTATGGTCATTGGTAATTTAAGTATAATTGTTTAGTTGGCTCTGGAATGACATTTTTTTTCCTTTTGAACTTTTCATTACAGTCAATATGGGGAGGTGCTTCCAAACCCTATGACTGTTTCCTCCTCCTTTTTTCTTTTCAGGATTAGCCCTAGCACTGAGATTCAAGGAACAGCTGCTAATTCCCAAACTGCTAAGAGCTGGCAAAGCCAACTCCTGTTAGTGGTCTACACATGTGTAAGTAAACATTACACCCACAAGCTAGCTGGCATTGCTCCCCCCCCTCCCCCCCCCCCCCCCCCGTGTGCTATGGGAAGTTGCTGCTGTGAGCGAAATAAGGTTGAACACTGTGAAAGCCATCCACTGCATGGCTATCAGCCTCTTCCCAGTAGACTCAAATCAAGAAAGAGCTTCATGAGAACCACTCTTCCTCTTAATGTTCCCCCAACAACCACAAGAGTATCCCTCTGCGCAGCTAAACCAGGAAAACCCAAATGGATGCCCCCCCCCCCCCCCACAAGACTATCCATGAGGCCCTACCTCCAGGGGCAAACCAAGAATAGACAATGTGGAAGTCCCTGAACAGACTTAGAAGCGAAGTGGGCAGATCAAAAGACAACCTACAAAATGGCCCTACCTAGAAGGATCCTCCACCCTGTGCGACTGTGGAGCAGAACAAACAACTCCGCAATGTATGCTTGTCCACAGTGCCCTGTCTCATGCACAGAGGAAGTATTGTTTAAAGCTACAGACAATGCGGTCGCTGTTGCCTGTTTTGGTCAAAAATTATTTAACCGCTTGTGTTCCCTCTATTTTTATCAGTTTTATACTTATTTACGCAATGCTTCTGACACAAAATAAATAAACATGCATATGCCTATTTTTGCAGAGGTTGGAATCCCCCATCCTCTGCTGCAAGTTAAAGTTCTTAAGATAAATAAAAGGGAGTGGCAAGTCATAAGTGCCACTGGTGACTACTAGGCTTACATTCCACAATCATGCCACATGTCAATCTAAGCCATTACTTTTTCCTTCTCCATCAGCAACAGAAACAGGAATTCCCCTTCAGATCCAGGCCACTTTTGTCCTGGGAGATGCTACCTGCCCCTTTCTTACGCAGAGAGCACTGCATTTCTCAAGGTGCCTCTACTACTGAATCAGGAAAAACCTTTAGTTACTGTATGAGTAAGCTGCTACAAATGCAGGACCAATAAAACAAGTTTTAGTTCAGTTAGAAGTAGAAAACATAAAAGACAATTCTGGATTTTAGCAGAGCCTAAGGAAACGTCTAAGGAAGCTTACCACTTAATATAAGAATGAATCCTTAAGTATTCATTATAATAAAACAGAGGTAATTTTTTTACAAGGAAGACGGTTACTCACACCTGGCAAATGCTCCCACTGAACAGGTCACAAACTCACGGAATCTCAAAGTAGTTTTTCAATGCCTGGTGTTTGCTAGATTTATATGTATTTAAAGGAGGGCACTATTTTTCTACCATTATCAAAGTATTCCCAATTGTACAGTTCACAACTATGTGCTTACGCCCCTTGTTATTATGCCCTTTTGACCAAGGAGCGTCTTGATTTAATAGCACCTCTTCTACAGAATACACAGGATGGAAGATCACTCTTGCCCTTCTGCTCTCTGAGCAGGATGTCCAGATTACAGACAGGGTTGCTAAGTTTTTTTTGCAACTGTCGTTGTGACCAGTCGACAAACAACAAAGCAACAGTACAATAAAATACTCTCTTAGAAGGACTCAGGGATCGAAGGGAGGCTGGTAGGATTATGTATAAATCTTGATCTGAGATAGAGTATTGAAACTTACTTCCATATATTTATTTCATGTTTGCAAAGCAGGTTGACTATCCCTTATCTGAAACACAAGAAGTGCTCTGGATTTTGCAGTCCTGTGAGATTTTGGAATACTCATATTTGTAATAAGTACACAAGGAGACACCATGGAAATGGGAAATTCATTCACATTTCATATACCTCTTAGAAAAACACCTTGAAATCATGCACAATATTTTCAACAATTTTATGCACAAAATAAAGTTTGTGTACATCAAGTATTTTGCATAGTCTAATATTATTTGTTGTTCTCACTACTGGAGAGCAAGTTGATGAAACAACATAACTGCCATTATATATGCTCATGTGTAAGTCAAACTCATGTATCTGTTCAGGGCAGATTTGGGGGTCAAAGTGATGGATTTTAATAGGAGTTGAGGGCCATTTTTTAGAGTGAGGAAACTTTCAGTACCACCTTAGGGACCAGGGATTGTTTTCCCATTTGTGGCATTGCAGCAGAGAGAGGAGATGGGTTTGATGCTTCTTTTAGCTTCTCCCAAAACAGACCGATCTCTCACCTTTCGTCACTCAACTCAAGAGAAGGAATGGTTTCTTTTTTCATAAGAATTGAGGTACACTATTCACATCGGCCCATGGATACATCTACTCAGGTTTTTGATTCTCAATGTTTTGACTAACATTTCTTAGACTTATACAAGAGTATATAGGATAGCATAGAAGGTCCCTAAATCAGTTAGTAACCCCATAAATCAATGGTTTCATGGTGTGTGAGTGACATACCCATGGGCATATACTGTGCCCAGCTTTTAAGAGATACAGAAACACTGGTTAACTCTTGATTTCCAGTCCTCCAGAGTATATTTACACCAGCACAATCAAACCCATTTTCATAGAGGTTTGCATCAGTTTTATGCTTGCCTTCAAAGGGCCACTGAATGCATAGACGAAGAATCCTTGGCTACAGAGAGAGTGCAAACTATTAGTATTTTACATAGTGTCTGGTGCTCTTCAATTTTTTCCCAATTTGGGTCTCCAGATGCTACTGAATGTCAACTCCCATCACTTTTGGTTATCTGGAGATAATTGCAGCTCAACAGCCCTTGTGGCTCTGAGGTTGGGGAAAAGCTAAAGGACTCTTTAACATCACACAGCCTATCCCCAGGCCTTGGATCTCAATCCAACTCTCACTCCCCAGACTAAACAGAACGAACTGCAGCCTTCCAGATGTGACTACATCCCAACTGACATTGGTTCTAGTCATGATAATGTCTAATTGTGAAGAAAACAGGACTTGGAGTCCAATGTATGGAGGGACAACTCTAGGATTGCAGGATTCTACCCCCCCCCCCCCCAATTCACTGGAGGCCTTTAAACAGAGGCTGGATGGCCATCTGTCAGGGGTACTTTGACGGTGCTTTTCCTGCCTGGCAGGGGGTTGGACTAGATGGCCCATGGGGTCTCTTCCAACTCAAGGATTCTGTGAGAGGTTAAGGCCGTGCTGGCGATCCTTGCTTGGGTGCAGCAGACGTGAGGGAGGAAGCCAAGCAAGGCCTGGCTCGGCTCGTGGATCAGGGCCCCTGCCTGAGGCCTCCTCCTCCCTCAGGGGGGTCCCGGACGGCACCTCCCCGGCCGGAGCCTCCTCTGGCGGGGCCAAGGGCGGAGCCTTTGGGGAGAGCGCCCCCCCCCCGCCTCACCTGTCCCAGTTGCTGTCCCAGAAGCCGCAGCCGTTGGTCTTCTCCAGCCAGGCGGGCGCGGGGGCGGCGGAGAGGGAGGCGGCGGGCGAAGGCAGGAGCAGCAGGCCTGGAGGCGGCGGGCCCGACGCGGAGGAGGAGGAGAGCGCCGGCTCCGCGAAACGCGGCTCGCCCCCGCCGGCCTTGTCCACTTGCTGCTTGGCCACCGGCACCGCCGAGAAGAGCACCGAGCCGCCGGCCAAGCCGCACGCGGCGGCGGCCGTGACCGCCACGACCCGTCGGAAGGCCATGGAGGGGAGGCAGGGCGTCACACCCACTCCGCGCCCGGCCCGGCCCGGCTCTCCGCGCTGAGCCGCAACCCCGGCGGCAAGCGAACAACTCCCGCCTCCAACGGAGCGCGCCGAGGGACAAGAGTCTTCTGCCGGGTGGAGGGGGCGGGGCCGAGGAGGAGAAGGGGCGGGGCCTAGGAGCAGTCGCGGGCGGGGCTCCTCCAGGAGAGAGGCAAGAAGAGGCCCGGCCCTGGCGGAGCTCCCTCCCTCCCTCCCTCCCTCCCTCCCTTCCGCCCGCCCTCTGGGTCCCGCGCGCTGTGCTCCTGGCTTCTCCGTGCCACTTCCTCATTGGGTCCGTCATGAAAACGTCATGGACAAAGTTTATTAAACTGCCCAAAAGGTTAAAAATGGCAGCCACAAAAACGAAGTTTCTGAATTATTCTTATTGTTATTATATTTGCGTTACTGTGAGTTTGGCTGTCTGGCCATCTTCCAGAAGCATTCTCTCCTGTCGTTTCGCCCACATCTATGGCAGGCATCCTCAGGGGTTGTCAGGTCTGTTGGAAACGAGGCAAGTGGGATTTATATATCTGGAAAAATGTCCAGGTTGGGAGAAAGAATTCTTGTCTGTTTGAGGAAAGTGGGAATCTTGCCATTGGCCAGCTTGATTAGCATTGAATGGTCTTGCGGCTTCAAAGCCTGGCTGCTTCCTGCCTGGGGGAACCCTTGGTTGGGAGGTGTTAGTTGGCCCTGATTGTTTAGATCCCACTAAGTAAAAATGCCTGTATCTCTAAGGAGAACAAGTGTCAAGTTTATAACTTTGTAAGTACCTTTAGATGTGTTTTAGCATATGATGTCCAATGGATATATTGGAGCAAAAGTTGATGTATATAATAAGTGTTTATAACTTTGCAAGTATATGCAAATGTTTTTCTGTATATGATGTTATATATATATATATATATATATATATATATATATATATATATATTTGCAGCAAATTTTGAAGTATATAATAATTTTAAACCACCAGAGGAAGGCCTGGAGTAAAGCCGAAACCAGTCGTGGGCAGCTGATTCATATTCAGCTCGGCATAAGAAGACACAGCATTGATACCATTTCAGAGTGATTGATTATACAAAAACCCATATAATATTGTTTGTGATTACTGTGAATTTGAACAGTATAACAACTTTATACAACCATACACTGAATTTTATTATTTTTTACTTTCTGTATAAGTGGGATATTTGTTGAGCTTCCTGATTGTTTCCTGTCTGGAATGCCCCTGTTTTCTGAGTAGTTTATTTACTGACCTTTAGAGTTCTAAAATACTGGGAGCCACATTTTATTCATTTTCATGATTTCCTCTTTTCTGTTGGAATTGTCCATATGCTTGTGGATTTCAATGCCTCTTTGTATAGTCTGACATGGTGGTTGTGAGAGTGGTCCAATTATTTCTGTGTTCTCCAATAGTATGCTGTCTCCAGGTTGGTTCATCAAGTGCTCGCTATGGCTGACTCTCTGGTTGAATTAGTCTTTGAATCCCAACCAAGAATTCTCCCAGGCAGCAAGCAACCAGACTTTGAAGGTGCAAGGTTATTTAATACTAATCAAGGTGGCCAATGTGGCCAATGGCAACATTCACACTTGCCTCAAGCAGACAAGAGTTCTCCCCCCCCCCCCCCCCGGACATTATTCACAGATATATAAACCCCACTTGCCTCGTTTCCAAAAGACCTGACAACCCCTGAGGATGCTTGCCATAGATGTGGGCAAAAAGTCAGGAGAGGATGCTTCTGGAACATGGCCAGAAAGCCTGGAAAACTCACAGCAACCCAGTGATTCTGGCCATGAAAGCCTTCAACAACATCTGCTTGTAGTCTGCGCAGACAGACTACAAGCAGAGGCATAACACGGTTGTTCAGATGATTAATTGGAAATTGTGCCACAAACCATCTGCCTGCGACAAAGAACTGGTGGGATCACAAGCCTGAAAGAGTTACAGAAAATGAACACTTCAAACTACTCTGGGACTTCCGAATTCAGACTGACAGAGTTTTGGAGCACAATACTCCTGACCTCACGATCGTGTTAAAAACAAAGTATGGATCATTGATGTTTCAATCCCAGGCAACAGCAGGATTGAAGAGAAACAACTGGAAAAGCTGACACGAAATGAGGATTTAAAGATCAAACTGCAAAGACTCTGGCAGAAGCCAGTCAAGGTGGTCCCAGTAGTGATCGGCATACTGGGTGCAGTGCCTAAAGACCTTGGCCTGCACTTAAACACAATCAGCGGTGACAAAATGACTATCTGCCAGCTGCAGAAGGCCACCTTACTGGGATCTGCATGCATTATTCACCGATACGTCACACAGTCCTAGACGCTTGGGAAGTGTCCGACGTGTGACCCAATACAACAGCCAGCAGAGTGACCTTGTTTGCTGTGGACTCATCTTGTGTTTCAAATAATAATAATAATAACAATAAACTTTATTTGTATCCTGCCCCATCTCCCCATGGGGACTCAGGGTGGTGTCCAAGAAAACAGGCAAACATTCAATGCCTATAAAACAGAAACCCGAGAGAGAATTTAAACATAAAACAACATTAAACATTAAACAACAAATTAAAATATTATTTTGCTTTGAAACAGAACAACAGTGACCCCGAGAGTTTCTACATGTGTATTACAGCCTCAGCAGCAAGTTTGAGAGAGACTCAGCTGCATTGATTGGAGCAAAACGAAGAGTGCTGCATCACCAAAAAGACTAAGCATTTTATTTCAGCGTCCGCTTTTGTGGACACTTTGTTATTTGATAAAGTGAAGTGCAAAGAAAGCACTTGTCTTGAAGTGGCCACAAAGAGTAATTGTAGAGACTACAGAGTCCATTAGACACTGACTAGGGAGCACCAATTACGCATTTTCACAATTCTTATAGGATTTCTTAGCATCTCTACTACATTGCAAAGTATACATAAAGTTATGAACTTTAGGGTATATCTGTTGTCCAGAATCCTGGGGTTCTGTTCCCGGTGTGCCAGCTCCAATTGGTTCAAGACTGGCAGAAATGAAGGCAGAGTTGCTGTATTGTTTTGATGGCCAAAGAAGGATGCCAAAGGAGAATCCCAGATCTAATGTGTCCTCCATTTATAGATATCAGCATTTTATGAACATTTCTAAATAGTAAACATTGTTCTGATTTGTATAATTTATGATCCACTGTCCTATTGGTTTGAAGTACATTCAGTGTTCTTATGTTTTACAGCCCATAATTGGAGGAGTGTGTATAGTGAGAAACATAATACAACTTGTATTGGATATACTCCAGATGTCTTCAGTAGTCCAGAAACTGCCACTTTTAGTAGCTCTAGTCTAAAGAGATACAGTAGACCAGGCAACCTCAAACAGTGGCCCTCCAGCTGTTTTGGCCTCCAACTCCCAATTCCTGAGCATTGAATAAACTGGCTAGGGGTTCTGGGAGTTGGAGGCCCAAACAGCTGGAGCGCTGCAGTTTGAGGATGCCTGCAGTAGACAAGAGGCTGGGAGATAGGAATATATTATACAACGGAAGAGAAATGGGCATTTGTTTCAAACATGGATTTTGGTCAAATATATCAGCTGCAATCAAACATTTCTTCCATGTTGCATCAATATCTGTAAGGGTGATGTTGAGTGCAGACCCCACCCCCCTGGACAAATTATACTAAATTCTCTCACCAGGGCTGCAGCAGGGACAAGCTGTGGCCAGCAAGAACTTTTTATCTTTGAAAATACCAATTTTGCAATCAACCGGAAGTATGGAGGAGTCCAGCAGCAACTATTGGCACCCAAGAGACTTCCCCTTTTTTATTAGTTAACTAGCTTGGGGACCCAGCGCTGCCCTGGTTATTTGAGAAAGGAATTGTGTATCAAGGTTGGTCTTTATCAGTTATTTATATGGCTCACAGTGGTCTCAGGAAGTTAGTGAAGGTACTGCGAGTCCCATCATCTGTGGTCCATCCTCCTCCAAACTGCACCAGGACGGAGAGTGGGTCATGGGGGGCTCTGTGTGCCAAGTTTGGTCTTGATCAGTCATTGGATGAGGGTCACAGTGGTCTCAGAAAGTGAGTTAAGGTACTGGAAGTCTCATCATCCATAGTCCGTTCTCCCCCAAACCTTGCCAGAATGTTGAGTTGGCCATGGGGGCTCTCTGTGCCAAGTTTGGTCTTTATTGGTATACTGTCGCTGTGGTTTCAGGAAGTGAGTGAAGGTACTTCAAGTCCCATCATCCATCCTCCTCCAAACAGCACCGGGATGTAGAGTGGCTCATGGGGGCTCTGTGTGCCAAGTTTGATCTTGATTGGTCATTAGATGAGGGTCTTGGGAAGTAAGTAGAGGTACTTGAAGTCCCTCATCCATGGTCTGTCCTCAAAAGTGCACCAGGATGTAGAGTGTATCATGGGGGCTCTGTGTGGCAAGTTTGGTCTTGATCAGTCATTGGCGAGGGTCTCAGTGGTCTCAAGAAGTGAGTGAAGTTACTGCAAATCCCATCATCCATCTCCAAATTCTTCCAAACAGCACCAGGATGTAGAGTGGGTCATGCGGGCTCTCTGTGTGAATTGTGGTCCTGATCCATCATTGTTGGCAGTTGTAATGGTCTCAGGAAGGGAGTGCAGGTATTGCAAGTCTCATCGTCCATGGTGCATCCTTCTCCAAACTGCATCAGGATGTAGAGTGCGTCATGGAGACTCAGTGTGCCAAGTTTGGTCTTTATCGGTAATTGGATGAGGATTGCAGTGGTCTCAGGAATTGAGGAAAGGTACTGCAAGTCCCAGAATCCATGGTTCATCCCCAGCCAAACCACACCAGGGCGTAAAGTGGGTCGTGAGAGGTCTATGTGCCAAGTTTGGTCTTGATCAGTCATTAGATGAAGGCCACAGCAGTCTCAGAAAGTGAGTGATTGTACTGCAAGTCCCATCCATGGTCCATCCTCCTCCAAACTGCAGTAGGATGTAGAGTGGGTCATGGGGGCTCTGTGTGCCAAGTTTGGTCTTTATTGGTAATTGGATGAATGTTGCTGTGGTCTCGGGAAGTGAGTGAAGGTACTGCAAGTCTCATCATCCATGGTCCGTCCTCCTCCAAACAGCACCAGGATTTAGA